ACACGTCCGCACGCGGCAGCTCGTGGCTCGTACGGCTTCGCACCAGCCTCTCGCGCACCGCCTGCTCAGGCACGGTGACGCGCCTCGCGCGGTTCTCATGTGACCGCGCCTGGCCGCGGACCCTGCAGAAAAAAGTGATCCTTCGCCTTCTGTAACCGTCTCCCCTCCTCCTCACGGGAGACGTCGGGCGGGACCCTCTCGCGCACTGCACCAAGGTGCCTGTGAGAGAGTCGACGCCCGGGGCACTGTGCGCTTCTCAAGATCATAGGGAGCGACCCGCACCTTGCTCGGCGGCAAATCCTCCTTGCGCGTCCTTTGTCGCTGTCCAATCAGGTGCATGATAGACTAGGGTTATACTATGCTCTGGAGACGCGCCAAATATACACTTGTTTCTTCATTTATGCCACAGGCTGCTGCCCCGATGTACCCTCAACGCTTCATGAGCTCAATTTGATTGAACACGTCGGTTCACCGGGCCGGTCGTGATAACGGTCTTGAAAGGCGTTTCCGCCACTTGGCTTGGACCACCAACACGTACATTCACTGAGACCTGTGCAGTGCCAGAGCGTATACTTTTTGTCTATCCGCATCACAATACTGCTTATATTTTACCTTCATCCATGGACGCCGCCGCCGCTCAAGTTACATCTGAAACCCCATTGTGGTTGGCGGGAGCGAGTCAGCAGCGTGTGCAAGAGATATCTCACATCATCGCATCGAGGGCGCCTTACAACGCACACTACGCCGCGTCTATTGCATCTGATGCTTCCGCGCTCAGCCGTCTTGCGAAAGAGTTTCTCCACATGGCGAACGCCTATACATCTCCCATACTGCGCCTCTCGCCAGAACTCGTCGGCGAAGTTTTCTACCATGTTGCCAGGATGGAGCCGACAGACCCCACTAGGCTAGGCTGGGTCCGTCTGGGACACGTGTGTCACGCTTTTCGTGCTGCATTGCTCGGCATGCGAACTTTGTGGGCATCGGCAGTTTGCCACGTCTCCTCCCGTGCTTTTCAGGAAGTTCTCAATCGTGCAGGGAATGCGCCAATCACCATATATCTAAAAGACGAGGACCACACCGTCAACTCTGATCAAGTTCGGTTCGTCTCGTCGAACATGACCCGCGCTCGTGACATCACCATCGAGGAGTACAATCATGGCACTGTCCTTTGGACGATTGAACCACGCGCCGTGTCTGGCCGCGCATTTTCCTTCCTTGAGGAATTGAATGTCCAGGCTCTACATCGCCCGCTTCGCGATTTTGCCTGGTTGAGGACAGACGTATACGACATTGCACCGATTTACGCACCTCAGCTGCGACGTGTGCGCCTGATAAACATATTCATACCCTTCCCCCCGCACAATCTGACCTCGTTGTCGCTGCTGCGCCACAAACACGTCGAAGGTGGATCCATGCCCAACCGAGATGATGTACTTCCTTCGCCAGATAGTTTCCTGGATCTGCTTGGACGATGTACCAACCTCGACTATCTGTGGCTCCAGGACATAATCCCTGCGTTGACACCCTTATCTCCATCTTCTCGCTCGTCGCAAGCTATCCGGTTACCCAAGCTCAAACATGCGACTTTATACGCTTCAAGATTGAGGGTCGCAGCCTTATGGTCTCACCTTCTCCCGTCACCGGACGCGAAGCTTGACATCAGACCCGACTACATCAGTTTCCCCGAGTCCTCCAACGGCTATACAGACGCAGAGAGGGTATCATTCTTGCCCCTATTTGTCGAGTATATACTCCAAAATCGCCCTCGTGTCACCGCACTTGTCGTGGAAGTCGACACGACACTGTCCCAAACCGGACTCTGCCTACTCAAGCACAACCCCGCCCTCGCATTGGATACCTGGGAAGGTTTAGCATTGTTTGATTATGAGGACCTGGCAGATGAATACGAAGTTATTCTCGATATATGGTTCTGCCAGTGCATCTGGGACGTTTCTATGCCACTAAGGGACCTCATCCATTCAATCCCTACGGCATACCTTGCCGACATCGATACATTGCAAGTGACTAATCTCGACGGAGAAGATGCGCAACATCTATTCTCAAGACTTCCCCGGCTACACACTCTTCATCTTGCCGACGCTTCGTCTGCTACGCTTGCCTTGCTCGCAGAGTCGCCCGCAGAGTCGCCCGCCGATTCGCCGGACGCCACGAGCCCCGATCACTACTTTCCTCAACTCCGGCATTTGCGCTTGATAGACTCGGACATCACCTCCATATCCTTTCATTCTGACGAAGAACAGATATCGTTCAAGCAACTGCTTGACTTGGCCTCGATACGGACCAAAGCCGGCATTCCTCTACGATCCTTAAAGGGCGAGCGACTCTACTTGCATGACACCGACTTCGATCGGCTATCGTTCGCGGCGTTCATTAGGAGCATGAAGGAGATTGTCCCCGACGTGGACATCGAGGTGGTCTGGGGGAAGGACTACTGAACGCAGTAAACACCTGAGGGATCAACTTGCCATTGTTGTCCCTAAAAGCCAAGGCGGTCAGGTTGAAGGTGATCTGGATGAAGGCCAAGGATCGCGGAGCATTCGCCTCATTTGTTGCGAAACTCAAGGAGTTAGTGCCCGACGTTGAGTTGGTCGTGAGTTCGCACACGCCGGAATATACGAAGTAGATGCTTTGTACATGATATTCGGCAATACAATCACGAGTAGATCTGCGCAGATGAGAGACTCAAATGTCTAAATACAAGATACGAGAGCGATGCGTGTGCGATAGCAAAGAACACAACAGTTATTCTGTACAACCTCGGACTAGCAATCGTCACTCCCCGCTGTCGTTCGCCGCCGGCCCTGCACCCAGACCGCGTGCATCATTCGCCAATTGCTCTCTCAACACGGCAAGTTCTTGATCCTGGACTGCCAATCTGGCGTGCGCGGAATCCAACGCGTCGCGTACGCGCTCGAGCTCGGTCGTGTCATCCACAAGTTGTCCGGGATTGAGAAGCGTAGAGTTATACGGGGGTGCCGGCCGCATTGTGAAGATGGGCATGAACGGGGACGAGAACTGTTGGGTTCTCTGCATTGAGGGAGGTGCCGAGAGGAGGTCTGGGTCGGACAATTGCATGGAGGCGATCGTCGAGGTCAAATGCGGGAGAAGCGGCGAGAGCGGACGCGACGAGCGTGACTCGGAGGAGTTAGGCGCATTGCTGTCCCCCGTGAAAGCTGACTCTGCTGCCTGCCCGCGTAGCATAGTAAGGGTGGGCTGAAGTGGCGAAGCCAGGTCCATTGACATCTCGGAGCCGTTGTCGGAGTCCGTTAGAAGATCTACGAGTACAGGCGAAGGCTCTTCGGTCGTGACGCCGCTAAAGGGAGGTACCGTGATGCGGGATGGTCCTGAAGGCGCCGTGAAGATCGATGGGGTAGGAGCGAAGGCGGACCCCTGTGAGGTACGAAGACGAGCGACCTCCTGTTGAGACGAGTACAGCTCACTGCGGAGACTGTAAGCTGAGTTCAGTAAATTGAGGATTGTATGAAGATGCGCGTGCGCGTACCGCTCGCATTCCCGTTGCAAAGCCAGGATGTCGTTGGGCGGTGCGCTGAATGGCGCGCCTAAACCCATATTGCCCGCGATAACCTCGGGAATAGAAGGATGTGGAGCGGGTGTAGGTGACGGTAACTCGTCCTTCAATTGAAGGGGCGAGGAAAGCACGCGCGAGTGATGCGGTGTTGGCGGACGAGGGAATTTGCGCGGTGCTTTCTCTGCCTCTTTTGGAGACGGCGGTATAGACATACGCGCAAGATCGCGTTCAAGGCTCAGCGTCGGCGAGCCTTCCGGAGATGCCTCTTGTATGCGAGCGGCGCGAGCTTGCTCAAGCTGTAGAACACATCTTATCAGTGTCCGCCGAGGCCAGGAAGTCCGTGATACATACTCGCTGCACAAGTACCGCGATCTCTTCAGTAAGAGCCCTGTTTCGCGTCGCGGAAGTTTCCAGTAGGCGGATAGCTTCGTCTCTCGATACTCTCAGCCGTTGCGCATCCAGCGAGGGAGCACAGTGCGCACACGCCTCTGGCGCAGCGGCGAGCTCAAGTTCAAGATCTCGCTGGGCGAGTATAGCCTCCAGTAGATTCACTCGCTTTTGTAGTTCAGCACGCATGCGCGTATCTCTGTCTGCTTGTGCACGTAGACTCATGATCATAGATTTGGCGTAAGAACGGAAGGAGTCTGGGGGAATGAAGGTTTGAGCAGACGTAGACGCGGCCATAGGTGCGAGAGGTTCGGCCAAAGAAGTCGCTAGGAGCCCCGAATGTGGCCATAGCGAGTAATCGTTGCAGACCTCGACTGCACAGTATGAGCACATACGTCATTGATACCTACGAAACGCGCTGACCTTTCTCGACAAGCAAAAGTACGCCTGCTCGCATATCCTCCTGCGCTGCCTCCGCATCGGCTGCTACTTGACGTGCAGCAGCGACGCGAGACTCCCATACTTCCTCTCTTCGCCTGGCGGCCTCAAGTTCTTCGGCATGCTCTAGGCGAGCTTGCTGCAATGTATCGAGAGTCGACAGGAGTCTGGATTGCAAGCCAGACGCATGTGCCGCATAGGCATCGAGTTCGAGCTCGAGGGTAGCAACCCGTTCGGTCAAGGCTATAACATCGTTTCCCTCAGTGGTTGGTCTATCGCTCATGAAGTTGCGGGATCTCGCGTCGTCGTTATGTGGAGGTCGTGGTCAGGTGCAAGTTCGACTTTGCCAATGCCATGAGGACGATGTGAGACCGGATGGTGCCCCTATCCTCCCACCGCCACCCGTTCCAACTCCCACAGCATGTCGCGCATCTGTCGTTCGTCAAATTGATGTAGCTCGCAAGTGATCGAGCTCAGATCGTTACAGTACAAAAATAACCATTCCGCCTCTTTCCACCCTTGGTGTACATACATGATAGCCAATATACATGTCGCTCTCAAAGCGCGCCTACAGAACGAAGCAAGCAGACCTCAACCTTCGACCACAATAAATGAACAGGACCCGCCCGAATATGCGTAGCTAGAAGCCCGCGCGCCAATCTGAGCGTCTAAGCGCGCTTCTTGCATGTGCGGCGGGACGCTGATCGCGACCGGCGCCTGTTACGCCTCGCACACCCTGCGCCTTTCAATCCCACCAGGATCGGTGTCGACTTCAAGCTGCGCGACCTCGACGATAGGTCGACCAGAATGTGTGAACGCCTCTGAAGTTGGCGAACGAAGGCTGTGCGGCGTGCGGATCCGGGAGTGTTCGGGGTTCGCGGGGTGCTCGGGAGGCTGGAGAAGGAGAAGCCGGCGGAGGTGGGCGCTGATGAGTTGACGCTGTAGGCGCTCGACGACTCGGACTCGGAGGAGGCGCTGGTCGATGGTGATGGCGGTGGCACGTTCACCGTCATCTCGATGGCAGCCGCACGCGCTGCAGCGGGTGATTTCGGTGTGGATTCCTGCTCTGGTACAGTCGTGGGTGGTTTGTCTGACAGGACCTCCTCCTGCTCAGGTTCAGGCGCGGCCTCGTCGCTTTCATCCGGGCTTAACGCTTGGATGATCATCAATGTGCCAATAAAGGCTACGGCTAGTGCAGCATGGACGTATGCTGGCATCTATCCGCGGGTTCTCAGCACCGTCTTTCGAAGGTGGCAGCGATGCGTCCACGTACCTCATAGGTAAAGAACGTTACTACGCCCATGCCGAGCACTATGTAGTGCGGCGGGAGCGCTGCAAGGGTAGAAACGGCAGACATGGTAGAAAGGTAGAAAGAAAGAGAGCGGAGTATAATAGAATAAAAACAAAGGCGATTCGCGGTCGATGCGAAGAAGAAAGAGAAAGACGACGTGTGTTCCTCACTGGCGTGCAGTGCTTATATGACCTTGGATCATCAATCCAGCATCTCCTTACGGGTGCGGCGTTGCTATTTATTGCGGCAATTGAAGGGTTCTCTGACGAGGCTGTGCTCGCGGGGACGTGTAGATGATGCAGATCATGACTGACGGAGAGCGCTGCGCGTACATCACGATATCCCGAAGCTGTTCGGCGGGGACACCGGGTTTCTTCTGGACGTGGTAGTGCAACGACGCCTGGGGTGCCCCCTGTATACGTTCGCGCAGGATCGCAGTAAGATGAGGGACACGAAAGCGAGGATAGCAATAGCAACACTACAACAGACAGGGTCGACAAGATCGCGCAGTAATGGTACAACCTAGGGTACAAAGCTATAGCAAGATATCGATCAGCAAGACAGCCATGAGACGTATACACAGATGCATTGGAGGGCAGGGTCGACGCTATCAAACTGACCGTCGAAGTCAGCGATGGATCCCACTACATAGTATAAAAAGCAACTCACCGGGTGAATCAGGGCCGCGGGCTTCACTGTACGTGCCGAGGCTCGTTAGTTGTACAGCAGCGTCGTCCTTCCCCTTCCCCTTCGCCAACGCAGGGTCCGAGATGTCGACAATCCGGACGGTACGTTCGGCCCGAGTTTTGAGCTCGTAGCTGTCCTCGGTGTAGTCCGATGTCGTCGTGCCGCCACTGCCGGAGGCGACCACGGCAGCATGCCATTGTCCAGAACCGATATCAACGCTGGTCGGATCTGAGCTCGTGGTCCTGCCGATGAGATGTACGGGTTTCATGGAGGCCTTACGGACATGCATGAGCATGCGCCCAGTCATGATCCCGGTCGCAGCATGGAAAGGCCTGAAGGCGCGATGAGCTAACGATGCGCCTCGGAGCCGGAGATGCTGCTCACCCGTATGAGAACCAGGGAATCTTGCTGACGCCTTGAAGGAGTCTCGGTCAATAACGGGGCGGCAGCTTTCAGAAATGTCCTATACTTACCCACGACCATGATATTGTTGAATGTCAAGATACAGGCAATGCTGCATTGGGTGAGTCAGTGGCACACATACGCGTCAACGGTCGACTCACAAGAAGAAGTACAGGAGGTTATCCTGCAGTACAATCCCGTACAACGTCGAGCGCCAGCTGCTCTTCGTGGATCTTCGATCATCCGTGCGCATCTCCGTGGCGAAGTTCTCCGCGGCTTTCCACAGCGCAAAGCCAAACAGAATGCCCTCGTAAATAGTAGCTGCGAAGCATGATTGAGTATCGCGTCGAAACCAACCTCGAGTACACGCGTACCTGGTACCCATTGCGCCCATTCGATACCTGTGTGAACGACTGGACATCCCGGGATAGGCAGCGACTTCGCCTGCGCGATCACCGAAGCGCGAACGAGGCCGTTGTGAACGAGAATCCACAAGAAGGCCGCGACAGAACCCAAGAAGAGTACAGCGTTGATGATAGCAATGCGCTTCGACAAACGGAAGAGAGCGAAGATGCGCAGTTGCATGACGATTTCAACGCCCCAGAGGCTCAGAGCGCCCACGACGCGGATGATGGCATCCATCCAGACACATCTGGGCAACATCAGTCCCACGTTCGCCCGGTGCCACATGACGGGATGCCTACAAATTCAGAGAGGGCTGGAATGTACTGAACGAGTGGATTTGTGCCACGTCGAAGAGGAGCGCGAGGATTGTATAGTACCGGACCTGTCATACACACGCTCATTAGTCCGTGTTCTCACAAAGGCTGCGAGCGCCCGCGTCCGACTGACCCAGAAGAAGAGCACCTTGCCAAAGCTCCACGGACTTGGCTGTCGTGAACGTGAGCTGTTGACCAGTACAGGAGTGGAATCTGGTTGTTTACCCAGATGTACTTCTTCTCATCCTCAATAGTGAGGACTAGAAACCGGCATAAGCATCCAGCAATTGTTCACCAGAGGCGTAGATTTACGGTAATCGTGCAGAACCCAGGTCAGAGAGCATGCTGGATATGAGGAATCAGTGAGACACAGTTCAAAACACCAGGGGCTGTGACTTACGGCTGGTATACAGGGGTATAGCAGCAGATTTCTTGAGTTTGATCGCTTCGGCCAGCAACGCAGCCTGCGTCGACATCCGAAGATTACCGCTGGAATGCAGGACGCGTGAATGCACTCGAGGCTATGATTCGCGCCCTTCAGAGCGACTGGGCCAGTTGAACATGCGGGGAGGGAGCAAAGTGCCAAGTGGCAGCGGTCCGCAGTGGCGGTCTTATATGGACTTCGTAAATAGAAAGAAGAAACGCGTCGCGTGCCTGAAATCGTCGCGGGCGGCACCGGTCTCCATTGACCTCCTGGCTGGCGTTTGATCGACTATATGGGATGCACGTTGGTCTGCCCTGGAAGTCCGCGCTATTGGAGTGGAATGCGGCACCGCGATAGCTTATGGATGGTCTGTGGGGAACAGGCCCTAGATTGCCAGTGGGAGATAATCAGCACATCTCTAGGCAAATGGTCAGGTGAAAAGATGAGGAACGTACAAGTTATCAGTTGATACCGATGCGCTCATGATGCCAGACGCTAACGGCACGGGATTTCTGAACTTTTGAGGCAACTGTGCGTACACAGGCCGCCCTTGGCCTCGTTACTATCTCTTGCGATACCCATGGCCCCTAGAGATGACCCTGCCGAGACCCTGCCGTCTATGTGCACGTACTCTTCGCATCAGGAGCCTTACCAGGTCATGGTATGAATGCATCTGTAGGCCAGAGGCGACTATCGGAAGTGGTGGTCGGCGGCAAAGAGGCAGCGGATCAAAGGTAGGTAATCGACGGATACGTTCCCGGCGACGGCCCGCGCTTAGCCCGCGTGTATCCGCTCCGGCCTGCGCGAGAGGCGTTCTCGATAGAACGACGACATACTGCTGAAGGAGGTTGTTCGTGATTACGCGCATAGCAAAGCCCAGTGTAGAATAATGTGCAGCTGGATGGCCCAAGCACTGAATCCCACCATCAGCAAAGCTATAAATCATATCACGATGCTGGCCTACGCACCAATCGCCGCTTTCCCTCTCTCTCGTTCACACCGAGTTGATGAGTATCCGGGAAGCTTGACAGTACAAAAGGTTCATGATGCGCCTTACGAGGCCTTGCGGGAAGCATACATCGGTTGTGGGATACGAGAGACAGCGCGGAGATCTGGGCTGCGTCCCGCTAGAGGGATGCAGGAGGGAACTGATCTTGAACGACATCCGCATTATAGCCACCCATCCCGGGCACAGGATAGTCGGATACTAGGACACGGTATATAGTTGATCTATCGCGGGACATGAGGGCGAGAGGTAAACCAGCGCACTGGGTCGCCAGACTCGGAGATAACCTCTCACAGGCGCCCACTGAACGCGGTGGCGTGACTTCTTCTCGATCTGCACATGGCTCTCTCATCGCGCTTCGGCATGCTGTTGCCGTTGTATGGTGTTGTTTTCATCCTTCGCAGCCGCATGGTCTCTCTGCTAGATATGGAGGTGCCAACTATCACGATCATCTGCTACGGGTATCTCTCGCGTCAACGTCGCTGATTTCCGAAAGCCAAGTCAGGCGGCCTGGCTGGTGAATCCGAAGTTGGGTTGGTCAAGTACACGAAGACGCGAATGGTGAGCTTACGCTCCCTGAGCAGAGAAAAGTATATCTTCTTCATTCTGTAGGAGGACCGGTGATGGCCTATCGTGATTGATAATTCACCATAAGTTCCAAGATCTTAGATGGGCTCCCGCCCCAAGTACACGTCGCCAATGCACTGGGGTCCTCCACGAATCAGGGATGTGTGCGCACAATCCTGGAAGTATCTTCCCAGGAGGTACGGCTTAAGGAGGTATCATCACAGCCGGACCTCGTCGTGAGGTATAGTCGGATGAATCTTTGGGCCGATCGCCTTTGCAGGTAGAGAAACTCCCTGATGATTCGGGATCGGTCATCGCTCAGATCGTGCGGATAACAGCCCATGCGCAGATACAGCCCGCTTTACATGCACTATTGGTAGATCCAGAATAGATATGTTAAGGAGCAACCCGCACCATACGTAGTCCGGGTGAACAGTGATCATGGCAAGTAGATGCCCTAGATGCCGTGTCCGTGCTCTGAGAGCCGACCGAAGGAACAGACCACGCACCCCTCATCAGTTCGTCGCGACTCGACCAAAGCTTTGGTAGAATCTACATCCCCTGTCACGTTAGCTTTATTCGGCGATCTCGAGTGTTTGGGAAAGACTGACCTACAAACAGCAACACGAGGTGCAGTGTCGGCAAGATGCTATCGCGAGGATACGTATGGGCTCGTGTGTACAGGCGAGATGCGGTGTGTACGGCCTTGATGCAGATGCAGAGTCTGGTGTCGACGAGAACCCGTAATGGCGGGAGAAGACAAGGCGTAACGCGTCTGCGCTTGAACTTGCCACACCGCCGGCCGTGAAGCGCGTGAAGCTTCAATGAAGCGTCACAGACTTCTCGAGCCACCGAACTCTGCATCCGGACGATCCCCTCGTAACTCGCTATCCCTCAACACAACCGTTTCGAGTGCCCCATCCCAAACCAGTATCGTCCTCTCAAGCCCCCAAACGCAGCCAGAACGATCAAGCCCATCGCGATGCACACTGCCCGTATCAAACCCAGCCGCCATCGCCATCGACCATCGTCATCATCGTTGATCCTGGTCCTCCTGGACCTCTTGGACGTCCCGCTGTCCCGCCGTCTGAATCAACGGGCCTAGCGCACCACTCGCCCGCGACAATGAACGGGTCAAACGCGATCATTGACAGCTCCTCGGAACAGATGGTCGCCTCGACGTCCAGACCCCAGCCTTGGCTCTCTCAAGCTTGAGCTTGAACATTGATTGGGCGTTCCAGCGTACACAGTAGACGCATGTAATACGCTGCAGCCTCCATTCGAGCTCGCGACGTCCGGCGAGCCCAGATGACAACTCACCTCGCCATGAAAGCTCCTTGTAGATGCCGAGCCGTGCCGCGCCTCGTCTTCTATGACCCCCAGCGCTCAACGCTGCGTCGTGCACCCCCTTCGTGCGCGGCGCCGCATAAGCTTCGCATGTAACGGCAAGGAAGCCCGGCGTGCCCATTGACATGTCAGGCGTCGGACAAACTCCAGCCACCTCTCCTGACGACGACTACAGACGTAACGCGTACAGTCCGAGTCGCCGCCGACAAGCCCGCCTATCGCGCGACTCTGAATAGAGTATCCAGTCAGCATTTCGAAATACAAATGGCATGACGAGCGACTGTGGCTGCGCGACGAGATAAATTGGCGCACACAAGCGCCCAGCCGTTCAGGTCCTGAGAAACAATAATCCAATCCGCATTTACGCGTAGCGCCAGTCTATGCCCTATCGGGCCCTCCGCGTCAATATCGCCAGCGCTGATTGTAGCGGCGGACCAGGTGTGTGGGAGCGCGGTCCGTCGGGGACCGTCCGCTGACGCGCCCAGTGCGCATCAGTTGCGCCGTTTGTATTTCGCATTCTGCGACTCGGATTCCGAGCGTAGGCGTGGGGTTCTCGCGCGCAGGGTCGAGAAGCGGCACAGACCGAAGATCGTCCGGGTATGATGCTCGATACGGGCAAGGTCGAGGACAAAGCTAGGGACAAGACGAGCACGGCGCGCGGTGCGCCGGGGCTAACTCTGGCCTCTGCCAAACCCTAAATCTCGCGCGCCACTTCCACTCGGCGACGAGGACAGAATTCCAATAGCGCATATGAAAGAGAAGCATGGATACTGAATGGGTCGTATACCGTAACCGTATGTGGGGCACGTTCAGTCCGGAGTTAGTTGCTATGTGAGAGCAAATGTGAGAGCTGTATCCTGATTCCTTCGACCGAAGATCGCGGGTCTTCTGCTTCTTGGGCGGCGAGACGTTGTAGTGTCGTTTGACGTGGATCACTCAGCTCGATAACACGCAGCCGTACGTTTGTCAAAACAGACAAAAATGCTATAATGGTATTCTGCGCGTTCGCGCGACAGGGCGAGGCGGGGGAGGCGATAAATACTCGTCTGAGTCTGAGGCCGATACGGGATGGAACGAGGGCGCACAAGAAGACCGAGTAAGCAGCAGTGTAGCAGCAGCGAACACACGCGAGCGAGGGCGAATAATACACGGGCCAGCAGTAGGAGACTACACTCCAGGCAGAGAGATGCGAAAGCGATTCAGAGATTATGCAAGTTCGGACGAGAGCAGGGGTGCACGGCGGGGGGCAGTGAAAGAAGAGGGTGGTTGGAGGGTAAACGATGTAAGGAGGTGGGCGTGCGTGCGGGGTAACTATCATACACATTCTAGAGAACCTTTGAAGCAAGAGCGACACGAACAGTCCAACAGTAGAGAACCGGAACAGACAAGCGACTTTTTGGGTTGGCGAGCGACCTGCGCTCACGGGCTACGCGTCTGGAGCGGGGCCGGCTGCGGGCCGGGCGCGCTGAGACGGCGATGAGGGTCGCTCGCCGGCGGGGTGCGCGCAGGGCTGGGCGCGCCCGAGTGGTGCGGGCTCGCGTGGATGGGGCCCGGGCTCTGGGTGTGCGGCGGCGGGGGCGGCGCAGACTGCGTCTCGTGCGACCACTGGACGGGGCCGGCGGGCTGAGGCATGGTCTCCGCGCGGGGACGAGCGTAGGGGTGCGCTGCGGCGGCGTGCGAGTAGGACGTCTGCTGCGGGGTGGCAGCCGGCGGAGTGGACGGCCCGTTCTGCGAGGCGCGGGCGCGGAGAGACGAGCCGGCGAGCGGGCCGCGCTTGTGGGGGAACTGCTCTGGGCGGGGGCGCGAGTGGGTGCGCTCGAAGAGGCCGCACTTGTTGCAGAGCACCTTTCCGGGGTTCAGGCTCGAGCGGCGCCAGGTGGAGGTGTCTGTGGTGCAGCAGTTGAAGCAGCGGCGGCGGACGCGGTCGCTGAGCTTGGTCGCCGCGTCGTCGGTGTAGATGGGCGTGAAAGCCTCGCGGCCGGGGTACGGGTACTGCACGTCGTGGGGGTGAGCCAGAGTGTGCGGGGGCGGGAGCTGGGAGGGCACGATGTGAGCTGGAGCCGGGTACATGGCCATGGGTGGGGGCTGCTGTCCGTAGGCGCGGTAGTCCTGGGGGGGCGGGTACTGGTACAGGTGGCGCTGGTCTGGGTAGTGTCCTGGCGGTGGCGGCGGCGGGTGAGCGTAGGCGACGGGGTGCATGTGCATGTGGTACTGAGGCGGGGCCGGCGATTGCGCAGGCGAGTCCTCGGAAGACTCGGACTGTTGCTGCTGGAGGATGGCGATCGGCGGCGGGCTGGGTTGGGCAGAGTTCCCTTGCGCGAGCCTTTATAAGTATGTGTTTGGTGAGAACAGCGCATCACAGGTCTCTTGATGGTGATTCCCCCACCTTTGCATCGTACCGCTTGCCAAAGGAGGAAGCTGGTCGCTGCCTTTGGACAGAGAGGGCAGCACAGTACGCTCCTGCTCGCTCGTCGCCTTCTGCGCACTCGCCACCGTCAGCAACTCACTCAACAAACTCGACATCGGCCAACAAACTGACCTGATCCGAGACGCTCGAGCTTGATTGCACAGATGACGCGCTTCGAGGCCGATCCCCGTCTGCTGCCTCCTGTTTGACGCGACGGGTCGAGGACGCCTGCTCCGGCTGCTGCTCGTCGTGCTCGCCGTTGCCAACGGCGGCGCTCGCGTGCTGCGCTGGCGGCGACCTGCCACCAAGTTAAACATACAGCCCCCTTCCCAAACAAAGAAACAAGTTCGCGTACTGCATGATTCTCATTACTGTGAAGAGTAAACACTTGGGGTGCTGGGCGGGTCGACAGGCAAGGGCGAGACGCTCTCAACCTCAGTGATGGGGGATCATAAACCAAACGAAAAACGAGCGGCTTCCTCGCGGAATTTCCCCCGACGACCCACCATCTCGGCGCCCACGATCAAATTTCTTCCATCAGTTCCCCCCGGCACCGCCCGCGCGCCGCCCATCCCCTCCTCTCCCATGCGGCGATGTGCGTTCCCGCGAGCTGGACCCTGTTCGCATCGCCCTTTCTCTAGCTCCGCTTGAACTTTGCATCAGCGGCCGTCTTCTTTCAGCACTCTCTTCCCGCTCCTCACCTCTACCAACTTTTTATTTTTCTTTCCTTCTCCCGCTTCGTCCCGCCCGCGGCCGTCGTCGGGCACCATTTGTAATCGCGACCGCCCTTCTTTACGCGCTAAATTCGGCCCTGCCATGCCTTCCTTTTTTCACGCTGCTTACCGTCATCCCGCGCGTGCCGGCCAGACTGCCGGCTTCAGCGCGGGACACGGCGTTCTGATACGATCTGATGGCTTCCCGGCCCGGCCCGTGCTCCTCGAGACTCTTTCACCTGCTCGCGTTCTCGCGGCCCCTCCGCAGTCTATCTTGGTCTTGCAAGACCTCATGCAATAAGGGCCTAAGGGAAGCGAACCCGAGGCGAGAAGTCCCAAGATTACAGTACTCCCTACAGCCGGTGGCGCGGTACCAATCCAGTCAGTTATTCGGGCGTTCTCCCTTCAAAGTCCCACAATGTCCCACAACGGGACGCGCTACGTAGACGTACGTATGCGGAAGGCCTCCTGCCTCTTCTCGCGACGCGACGCGTGCATTGCATATCACGGTATGTACAGAGCTCCTCGACGACCAGCAGCTCTGTCGACGTCTATTGGATGTCGTTGGCACGGTACAGCCGTAACATGTAGGGCGCCAAATGCACACGCGGAGCGCTCGCTGCCGGCCGCCTGTTCTCCCCTGGCCTTTTCGCGCTGCCCAGGCGCGAAGCAGACCCAGAGCATTCCTACATACAGTATACGCGTGCGTGTACGCGACGGCCTGATTCCGATGAGCACGAATCGGATGCTCCGATGTCCATGGGGCACGCGATGGATGGATAGATGGCTGTTGGCTCGCGCACGCGAATTCAATCCATTCACTGGATTACCATCGCCATCTCGCTCTCGCTCGTACATCCGCGCATCAGAGCCCGGCTCCCACATGCACCCACTCCGGCAACTACTGTGTTCGCCTTTTGGTCCCTGCGCGCGTTTCGAGCCGGGCCAGTTGGCCTGATGGCGAGCGTATGTGGCTGCGCAGCCTGCTCCAGTTTGGGCCAGGACTGCTGTATGCGGAAGAAGTCCGCGGGACGCGCAATACGTCAGTACTGTAAGTATGGAAGGCGAGCGAGAGGGCTATGCTCAGGCTGCACTCCGCCGCAATTGTCTGTCACGAGCGACGATCTACCAAGCTGACAGAGAGATTCCAGATAAGCTCTCGCTGTGATGCCGTGCTTTCAAGCAGCTCTTGCGAGGCTTCTCCGCCGTATACGGCTGCGAGCGCGCAGAGTGGCACTTTGATTTGATAGACCCACGGACGCGCATAGGCTTAGACTGCGAACGAGCCTCCTTCACGCGACGGCCACCCTTGATCATGATCGCGCCGGAGCCCAAGTCCCATTTGGGCAACCCATACCAGCGATAGCCTCAGCCGGCCATGATGCGCTGTACGATGGAATCGCTGACGGCGGCGATGGCCGATCGATGCCGCGACCCAGCCAGGTGCCGGGTGCACACGCCCTATACGGGAGGCAGTGGCACCGTCGAGGGAGAGAAAGACGAGGGTACGTACCGGCCTCCCAGAGCCTTCTCCCGCCTATGTTGACAGATGAACAGACGCATTGGTTTGGTAGCCGTAGGAGGGCGCGGCGGGTTTACCTAGAACAGGACGCTTTTCTCTCATCGTAGCCTCGTGCTCGCAGGACACAGCTTTGCGCTTTGGTTTGAGGCATTTCGGCTGTTACATCGACGTGAAATCATGATCATCTGCGAGCACGCGACGATGCTACGACGATACGTGCTCATTGTTTGTTGAGCGAGGTAACGAGGGTAATGCGTCCAAAGAGGTCAAGTCCTCTTTGCCTTGATCTTTCGTTTCGTGGTGCGATCGTTGGTCTGCCAATGAATACGATAGCATGATCAGACGAGGGTCAGCGGGTACTCAGGCTCGCTGATTAAATTGGTAAAGAGTACACTCACGCGATCAGTCGCAGTCGAGCTGTTTGAAGGTGTCAATCCCGGCTCTGAGGTTGATTCGTTTACCCGGTAATTCTCTGTACCGTTCGAAGCTCCCTCCAACTGTCAGAGTACGCCGCAGCGAGTACACTGTACCTTGACATGTGAGCCTCTATACTTACTGGTCGTTCAGCGCCCAAGTGGTAAGTCTTTCGTATTTTATCCCGTTTCTTCGCCCTTTCACTCACGCGAGACTCTGCAACAGAACGCGAACACGACCGCCTGATCAAGAGCTAGTACAGCAGATGCTCAGCTATTGAACACCGGTGCGACCTGATGATCCTGGAGTTCAAACTCAGGGCACGCTCGCGCGTGTTCAGGGCGAATACTTTATCGTGCAGCCGAGCTTGGCGGTATAGTTCAATAATGCCGACGTCGCGTTTGGAGTGCTTCTACGGGGAGTTAACCCATACGCATACCGAGCCAGAAGTAGGCCTTTCTGCCGCCTCACACAGTCCACCGGCCGGTGAAGGGCCTGGCGACGACTTCAGGTTCTCAAGAAACTCTCTTCACCCTGCTTCAACGCCGCGGGTATCCTACAATGGACCCATTCACGTATCAAGATGTCTCGCTCATGCCTCTGCTACAATCACAAGGAAGCGTACCAGAGTGCTTCTTCGCTCTATGTCCAGAAGAACACTCATCAGAAGAACGCTTCTGTAAGCTGCACGAGAGCGTTCTTGGAGCACTCACGAGTCCTGTTTCATCGCTATCGTTCGAGCCAGGCAGCTTCTCCGGTCTTCATGGACATGTACGACCGCTCTCATGCTACCTGAAGCAACGACGGAAATCGCGGACTCGTCAGTCAGCTCGATATACAAGGCAGGACTTGCGATAACTGTAAGCCACCCGCGGCTTGACTTAACGGCAACGATGCTCACACTATTGGGGTAGAATGAACGGAACAGGTTCGGGCCCTCGTGCAACAGGCACGTAGCTCTATGCGTAGCGCGGTCCGCCAACCTCCGCTTCTCGCGCAGCACTAGAAGCAGCACCGGCGTGTCCACGCGCGGCCAGTCTATCCAGCCTCGTCATGCGTATACTGAACTCTCTCTACGCGAGAAAGAGCGTCTGTGCCGCCGGCCTGACCTCACTGGCTCACAGAACTCTGGACTGACGGTATCAAGAGCGCTCCGATGCGCTCCCGAGGGCACATCAGCTTCTCCCGTCTCACACGCTGTGCGCGCCCCAACTACGCCGCTTTGGCTTCGCGGCGAGTCTTTCTAAGCTATTCGCACGGGCGGCGCATCTGCCAACTCAGCTCCTAGGCTTTTCCGTGCGCGTCGCATACCGTTCTGACTCTTACATCGGCATCTTATCGCTCGCCGGGGATACTGGGTCCAGCGTTCAACGTTCATACTTGCTTCACGCTGGTGAGGAGCACCCCGAAAACGCCGATCTTAATGAAGCAAATCCTTGCGCATCCGCGCATCGTATTGGCGGGTAGTCTGTCTAACTATCACTGAGAGGAATGATCCATACTTGTTATCCCCGGATGTACATGTCCGGATTGTCCTTTTCGTCGACGCTCGCGTTCCACACGACGTATGCCGATGATTCTGGGTCAGTGGCTATGGCGATCTGCCCTTCGATCTGTTGGCGGAAGAGGGGCCAGTCTTCTCACATACACCTTCCTCGGGCTCGTCGCCCTTGACCCTAGTCCAAATCACGCACTCTCTTCCTAACATGAATGCCATCTGATAAAGCACGTACCTGTATGGCCCGACGGATCTCATCTCCTGGCTTTGCGTGTGATTGCAGTGGTGCAATGTTGAATGCCCCTCGCGTCCACCTTGGGATACTTACCCCGCCCGTTCGCATCGATATGCCTGCTGGGCCTGTGAAAGGGGATACCGTGGATCAGAACGGGGGGTCAGACTCTGACCCGCCGGGCCCGAGCGGTAGAAGCAGCATCGCATGCACGGTGTTGTACGCGTTTCAAGAACGATGGCATCAGGCGAAACGAGTCGGATGCAGTCCTGGCTTCTCCCGTTCTACCACAGACGAGGGTGAGGAGGTCGTACCTAGCCTATACGCGTTCGAGGTCTCCATTGCGCTCTCATGGAGGATGCGCCCGCTCGGTGGAGTGAGGAGGCGACGAGTACACCGTTTCATGCTACTAGCTACGTATCATGAACGGGGCTGAGCCAAAGCTCAACAGCTCATCTTACTCCCAAGCGTGCGAGGATCATCATGGGCAGAACTCGCCACTTCGATGTTAGCAAGGATCAAGAGGCTCTGCTCTTCCGCGAGGTTGGCGCGGCGCATCATGGGCGCGTCACGATGAAAAGGTGTTTTCCGCGCGTGGTGGATAGGAAGGTGCGGACCGGCGTATGGGCGAAGCGCCATCTGTCATCAGTGTTGTATTATATCATTCAACATACTGCGCAGTACACCTCTCGTCACGGGCTGATGACACGGCACTCGCAATACACTTACCAAGCGGCATGAGTTCGGAGGAGGCTAGCTCGGTAAAGAAGACCCGTGACATTGGCATTGTGTGCTTCATCGCATATGCGTGGATATCGGACGCGGTCAAAGCCAGTCTGCCGTTGATGACGAGGCTACTCTGATGCTGATAGGTCAGACTGGGAGGAACCCGCGTTCATTGAGTCAATGTGAGTGGTAGCTGATGTAACACTGTTAACGCACAGGTACCTGAGAGTATACCGTGAGATGTGGCACGGTGAAATCCGGTCAAAATAGCCTGTTATATGCAATAACCGCGTTTTCATGGTTTTGCCCAATCATCAGAACCAACTCAAAGTCACGCCACCGCGTTTGATGAGGTTGAACGAAGTGCACCAGTGCTGTATATATTTTGAGGGATGTTCATTCGCTTCCGATAAGACTGGAACACATTCGCAGGAGAGTAAGCGAAAGACCGATAGGGATTGTACTGGAAGGTCGGAAGCAACCCGCGTGAGTAACATGCGCCGTCACCCGTCGCCGCGATCCCACGTCGTCTCTTGTTTTCTTCCCTCATCACACATGCCCTCCAGTGTCCGTGCTTGGTCCGCACTCTGACTACAACTCGGTCAAATTCAAGAGCCGTGCCATCTCCTCTTACATGAGGCGCATCATACGCTAGTATACGAACCTCAAACCGGGTCTCGACGTCTACAACGAGGTGGGATGTCCGATGGAGCAAGGATGGAGATCTTGCTGGACCGTCGTTTCGGGAACTAGTAGCTACCCTACGGTGCGTAGCAGTGTGAGGTTGCTTGAAGTTGTACTGATACGACGTCTTCGCAAGCACCGCTCTTTCCGTCGTACAACACAAGTCACTTCTTATAGTGCACATCTTGCGCCCTCCAGTAGTGTATATTCATCATGAAATCACGATGAACATTTCCTCCCTTCCCGGAAGCAAAAGAACCTCGAAGACGGCCCATCCTGCCCTCTCAGTCACTACCTGCACGCAAGAGTAGCGGTATTGCCTCTTAGCGCTTGCAACGGATACACACGTGCTTGCTCTTCCTCTCATACGTATTCCGTTCGATGCTGGCCTGGCGCAATGCTACTTCAAAGGGAATTGCACTCAATACAAGTGTAGAGGAGCAGATGCCGTGTGACTTAGGAGTTCATCGCGAGCGATTGGGAGAACGGGCTCTCAAACCTGGGAATCGTTGACGACACTACAGGACAACTCGGGATTGCTTCTCCCGTCGCACAGACCTCGAGTCCCCATAAAGCTTGACTTGCCGTCGCCCAACGTACCTCTTCCTTTATACACGTTGTCGACGAATACGGTGTCAAGAGCGACCATCGCTCTGGACAGCATCCATGGACCCTTCCATCATCTCGCAGGCAATCACGCTGAGGAAGGCTGCTCTCATACCTATCTATACCAGCCATGATTGAATTTCATCAGACCTTCCTCCCTTTGTACTGACTTGGCCGTTTCAGCGTGCGCTTTGACATGGGTTTTACATGATTATCGTGAGTCTCATACATCCAGTGCATGGGTCGACGAACGCTCATGATACCCTTGCAAGTTCTAACCATCGAGGACGAGATGCGATACATATGGGTACGCAGCCTGTTTGCTCTGGGACGCTCCAAAGGGCATCAGACTCAATAGACGACAGCCGGGGCCTTGGAATCTGGGCAAAGTGCTCTTTTTCTGGGTACGCCGTCTGCCGGGTAACCTGGGGTGTGCTGCTCACGATCTAGTTGTAGGTGCGGTACTATACAATTGCGGCTGTGGTCTTCGATGTTGCTCAAATCCATTACTTCGATACAATCAAACCTTCGTCGAACACGTGAGTAGAGGTACCACGGCAATTGGATCTCAACGATGAGCTGAACTATCTCCAAAGATGCGTCTGGATGGACGCGATGATCCGAGTAGTCGGAGCTTTCAGCCTCTGGGGAGTCGAGATCGTCATGCAGTTGCGCATCTATGCCCTGTACCGGCTCTCGAAGAGAGTGAGTACAACGGTCCGCTGTTCTCGCTCTGTCGCTTACGCAGTTGTACAGGTTGCATTGATCAATGCGCTACTCTTCATGTTGTCGGTGGCAGGTTTCGCGTACATCCTCGTTCACAATGGTCTCATCCGCGCTTCCGTCATCGCGCCAGACCAAGCTCTCCAAATCTCTGGTTGCCCAGTTGTGCATACAGGTATTGAGTGGGCACAGTGGGTCCCAGGTGACAGTGCCCTCCTTTTGGTCGTAGTGAATCATCACTGATGAGTCTCTAAGCCACTATCTTTGAGGGTATTCTTTTTGGATTCGCGCTCTGGCAAGCTGGACAAAGGCTCGTTGGGCGTCTGCGCGGTAGAACGTCGTCGAAGCATCAAGGACTGGCGACCGACCCTTTATTCTATTATCTTATCTGACAACTTGATGTACTTCTTCTTGTACGTCTTCGTGGTCAACACTTCATGCTTAATGTGCTTATACCAAACAGCATAGCCTGTGTCCTCACGCTTAACAATCTCATGGTGGTTGGCGATCGGATACCAATTCCCTGGTTTAGCTATAGGTATGTATGTGGACGCTCTGCTTGGATGGCCAGGTGTCTCACGTTATTTAGCCCCTTCCATGCCGCTACTGGAATCGCAACGAGCCGGATGCTCATCCATGTACGAAAGGCGATACTCGCGACGGACATGTCAAGAGGGGTACGGCGGCCTGCCTTGCAAAGTGTCACCATCGGGAGTGGCCAGTGGCGAGTTGCTGCACGATCGAGCAGCTACTTCGTGAGAGGGACGGACCGTACAGCAGAAAGCGCTCAACTACGAAGCAGGCAGGAGCCCGCGGGGCCTGTCCTTCCAGCTATCAATGACGTCTCTCTGTCCGGTGAAGGACAGGCGGGAGACGTTGAAGCTGTTTCCTTTACGCACGGAAGCACCTCACTTGTCCCTTCAGACGCATCAAGGTCGCCTTGAGAGACAGTTGCTTGAAGCTATCGTCATGCAATTATATTGGGCATTGAGAACGATATATGACTCTATGTAACTATATCCACAAATGACCAGATACCTTCACTCTAGTGAGGGGGCAGCACGATCGTCCTCGGGCAACGTAGGCCTGGAGTACCCATCTCGTTGCAACCTCTCCTTCACAGCATGGAAAACCTCGTATGTGTGGCGTTCCTCGTCGAAGTTGAGAAGCCAGTCTGGTCTGATATACAATGGCTTTTGGTCAGCAGGGCGCGGTCACTGAGTAAGCCACGAGCATACCTCGGCAAGCTGAGCTTCTCGCCATGTTCGCCAGCTGTGGCCCTGTGCCACTTGTTACGCGTCGTCTCGCCGAGAACTTGTGCATATCGAACGCGTTTGTATCTGTGTGATGATGGCATACACCGGTCAAACCAACAGTCACGCTCGCAGCATATGACCTCGTACCGTATGTGTTCCCAGGTGCGCACTGCGTTCGGTATATCTCGCTTTCCTCCAAGCTGCAGAGCAATCGCGAGAGCTACGCCATCCTCAACCGCCTGTGATGCGCCTTGTACGCTGGTCCTGCCAAGAGGTTAGTTAATGCTCTACGAAGTGGTGTCCGGGGTACTCACGGGAGGAACGGATGCGCGGCATCTCCGATGATTGCAAGTCGACCATGCTTGGATACCCATGTCGGGAGAGGTTCCCGGCCCACGAGCTTCCAATCCACGAAGTGAGGCGCCTTGGACAGCACGGCAGCACAGACCGGGTCCCAGCCCTCTACGAGTTTTAGGACATCGGCGCGATCGCCGGGGAAGGACCAGGATTCGCCGATATCGGTAGAGTCGCTGAATGAAAGTGTTAGTCAAGCCTCAGATATGGGTAGATGGGACGCGAGAGGTGTGAGAACTCACACATGGGTCAATAGAGCGCTGACGCGCGTGCCCTTTTGGCAGTTGGTGACGATCAGATGCATGTCCTGTCCTGGAGATAGTATGTTGGATCAGAATGGCGACCTAATTCAAGCCGATCCACAGGCTACGCACCGATCCAACATTTGAAGATGTCCTCATCGCGGGCAAGGAAGTCCGTCAACGGATCCTTGTCGATACCGACGTCTTGCGCATTGAACCACGTTCGGTAGATGGCGTAGCCAGATGATATAGGCTTATCATCGTACCCCTACATCACTTTCGTGTCAGATCACTCTTGTCCAGTGAAGAATTGGTACTAACTGACCAATATAAGGTTGCGCGCACGGCTGTGAACGCCGTCGGCGCCGATCACAACATCCGCGACTAGTCGCTCCCCACCCTCGAGCACCACACCGGCCTTGTCGTGTTCATTGTCTTCCCAGTACTCTACCACGTCGCATCCCGTCCGGATTCGCACCCCGATCTCTCGAGCGTAGTCCAGTAATGCTGCGAAGATCTCGCCGCGGTGGCCGTTGTATGAGCAGGTGCCAGGCGCGCTTTGCTGGAACGGTTGTTTGTTGAGAAGCTCGCCCAGATGGTTGTAAAGCTGTAGCTCTGTGGCGTGTCCGCACAAGGGCCATAACCTGCAATACTGGGTTAATTCGGGTCCTTAACACCGATCAAGAACGACGCGAGGCCGAGATGGCCGAGACGAGAGGAATTTGCCAGGTGGTTGTTCATTTACGACTCGAATAGACGAGCTACTAGGTTCGAAAGCGCGGCTCAGCCGCGCATGATGAGCGCACAATAGCCCAAGGACTTGATATCGCGGCGGCCGACGCCTATGCGGGCACCATGTCCTGTATAGACACAAGCAGAAGCACTTCTCGGACGACCCACACGGAAACACAGTTCAGCGCATAAGGGCGACGTACCGATCATGAAGGCCCCAACGCATGAAGAACCGTCCAACATTCAAGCCGAAGCTGATGACCTGCAACGAGATCAGAGTGTGAGACGAAGGAGTCTTGTGCACTGCGTACATCACCTGTGCGATGTATTCAGTATGGTGGTCTGTAAGAAGAGCAGAAATATGCTTACCTATCATGCGTAGCTCGTCGTACTTCTCCAGGACCGTCACGCTATGTCCCTTCCTTACTGATTCGATCGCACAAGTTATGCCAGCGAACCCGCAGCCAACGATGATCACGTCTATACCAGACGAGCCGGCTTCAACCGCTTGTGCATATCCTATGGATCCAAGGAGATCTTCAGTATGAAAAGACGGTCCGTCGGGCATGATCAACGAGGCCGCGCGGGGATCGCAGAGCTCAGAGATGTAGAGGCTAGTGGCTTCTGGGATTCCTCTTAAATACCGAATGTCGTGATAAAGAGGATCTAGCGACCATCGCGCGAAGCATGCGCGCTGCTAGAGAGGACGACTTCGAGAAACGCCCGGTAGTGGCGAGTACGCGGGACGCCGATCCACACGTTGGCCATTCGAATGCGCCGGTGATCGCACGAAACATATCGATGAGGTAGAAGATGTCGTGGCTTTATCTCTGGAAGCCCATTGAATGAAGTACAAGCCCATCTATATTAGCGTGACGCCGGCAGGAGGGATCAGGGAGGCGACGCTCGGCCTTCGCGAGTGCATGGAAGCTCGCTCATAAGTGGATGCCGAATTGCCGCTTATTGATGACACCCTGAGCTAGGCTTTCGGCGAAGAACCGAGTGCGCCACCCATTTGATAGAAAAGGATACAAGCCGTGGATCAGCGAACCCTACAGGCTCGTGCGCGCTTGCTCAGCGAGTGGCGGTCCGCTTTGATGGGTAAGGTGTCTGCTGTTCACCCCATCGGATTTGCTCGCCTCCGGATGCAGGTGAAAAGCAACGTGCATTCGGGGTGATATACTGGCCGGTACATCGTGACGGTGGTCGTTGTGGTCAAGTCTGCGTGCGACTCTTGGGGTGAACTCTCCCCACGTGCTCCGAATAATCACAAGCGAGCCGTCGACATTGCCGGATACCCCGCATCACCTCTCGTGTTTAAGTAGAGTAGGGACCGTCTGCTGAGCAGCTTGCACCGCGACCCCCACCATCTCAGTCATGTCTTTCGCCCAAGCTGTAACCAACGTCTTCTCGCCCTCCGGCAAAGCCGCCGCTCTGGCGCAGAAAGACACTGATGTTGTCATTGTTTCTGCTGTTCGTACCGCGGTTACGAAGGTGCGTGAATTCAGAGTACTCTAATTGAGAATATGATCCTGATATCCCGTCAACTTCAAGGGCAAGAAGGGCGGCTTCAAGGACACACGCCCGGAGGAGCTGCTCTCTGGCGCGTTGCGCGCAGCATACACTCGCGCGAACATGGACCCCAAGCTCATTGAGGACATCATCGTCGGCAACGTCTTGCCTCCTGGTGGAGGTGCAACTGCTGCTCGCATGGCTATGATTCACGCCGGCATCCCTATCGACACTCCTATCGCCACTGTCAACCGCCAATGCTCCTCTGGTCTCACTGCCGTCAACGAAATCGCAGGGCAGATTATCTCTGGCCAGATTGACATTGGTATCGGTGAGTCTATCACTTTAACATTCCCTTCGTCATCGTGCACTCTGGGCCAAAGTTATAGTTGCCTGCGCGTATACACCTCGGGGTCCGGTGAGATGCCCGGAAGACAACATTATGTTTCAGCTTTTGTTTCTCTCCCCGCCTTACAAAGCACCGTACTGACCCAATTCATGTGAAGGTGCTGGCGTTGAGTCCATGACCTTCGGTTACGGCGCCGGTGCACAGCCGGACGGCTTCTCTGAGGCCGTTCTCTCTGTACCGGAAGCAGAGGACTGCTTGTTGCCTATGGGTATCACTTCTGAGAACGTCGCAGAGGACTTCGGCATCACTCGCGCCCAACAGGACGCATTTGCGGCTAAGTCTTTCCAGAAGGCGGCGGACGCACAGAAGGCGGGCAAGTTCAAGGACGAGATCGTCCCCCTGACCGTGAAGTTCGTTGACCCCAAGACGGAGGAGGAGAAGACCATCGTCGTTGACCAGGATGACGGTATTCGCGCTGGTGTGACGGCGGAGAGCCTTGGAAAGCTCAAGCCCGTCTTCAAGGCCAACGGTACCACACATGCAGGTACGTGAACTCTAGGTCCGAAACTTGCCCGAGATAGACGCTCATGTTCTTCGCGTAGGCAACGCATCTCAGGTCTCCGATGGCGCAGCTGCAGTCATCCTCGCACGCCGCTCGGTAGCGAAGAAGCTCGGTTTGCCCATCCTCGGCAAGTTCGTTGGCGCGAGCGTCGTCGGCGTACCTCCGCGTGTGATGGGTATTGGCCCGGCGTTCGCCATCCCCAAGCTCTTGCAGCGCCTTGGTGTCTCGAAGGACGAAGTTGACTTCTATGAGATCAACGAGGCGTTTGCTAGCCAAGCCGTCTACTCTATTGAGAAGATCGGTCTCCCGTACGAGAAGGTCAACATCAACGGTGGTGGCATCTCGCTCGGCCATCCGCTCGGTTGCAGTGAGTTGCATTTCTCCGACGTACAGTCCACCTTGTTGACGAACATATATAGCTGGTGCTCGTCAGATCGCGACTGGTCTCAGTGTCGCAAAACAGACAGGCGGCAAGATCTTCGTCACCAGCATGTGTATTGGCTCGGGCATGGGTATGGCCGCCATGTTCGTCTCCGAGCACTAGGCGTCTTTCCTGGATCGTGGATCATCTGTACTCTAGCATTCGTTCTAACCTGCACATATCTATGTACTTTTTTCGCTTCGTTCGTCCTCCAAATCAAGCCGTGTTGGGTAGTTGTGACCGGTGATCGTTCGGTGAGAGCCATATAGAAGGATGCTCGCGAATATAAAGCTGGGAGAGAGCTTGCGCCAGAGGTAACTCTGGCGCTGGCGTGCTCTGCGTATAAACGATTCGACCTCAGTGGTACCCAGGCGAGGTCATGCAGCCTCCTTATTCCGCAAGATGCGCATCTACGAGAGTGGTGGTGTAGGTTGTTGTGGGTCGTTCAAGTCGTAGGTCGCGGACGAGTTCCAATTAACCCGTAATAGGGCTTCTGGCGTTATTGCACGGGAGCAACCTCCAGCTATCAGGCCTCAGGGCTTGCGCCGAGTACATACAAAGAGTGACGTTCATTCAAGTGGATTACAGCGTCCGTAGGTACATGGAGGGAACTACTGGGGGAGGCGGATGTATATATCAACTCTACGGGCCGCTGTCGCCAATAGCCAGACGGTGCGATCTTGGGGAGCTGAAGTCTCTCTCCCTGAAGCAAGTTCATCGCCGACTGGTGAGCGACGAAGTCGCGCCAGCAAGCGTCAAATAAGCCAAGGTGAACTTTCGATGAAGAGAGGAGACAACGCGCGCGCGTTGAGGTGTAGGTGGCCGGCAATTTGCAAAATGCCGCGTGGCTCGGATCATCGGTCCGACGAGTGCGAGAAGTCGAACCGCGCGCGATTTTCGTTTCTTCTTCAACAGTCATCTTCCTCCTCGCTCGACGTATGACGGCGGAGGCCCTGCCCGATGAGGCCGTCATCGGTGGGGTGGAAGTAGAACAGCTTCTTGGGAACTAGCTGGGCATGCCGTTCGCCTGTTATACTCCACGGTTGGAGGGCTAATCAGCTTCTTCCACATCTTCCTCGCGTACTCGCTTTATATCTATGCTCTATCTGTATTCTATCTATCTGTACCCTATAGACATACCCTCGCCCAAATATACTGCTGTCTTAGTCTCGTATCCTGCCACGATCATCTGAGTGCAGAGTGGCAACTTGCGAAACCCATACGTGGATCTACAATTCACATGAGGACGAACCCGCGCCTTCAAGTCACTTCGAAGTCCGCGCGTCGATATGCTTGGAACTTGGAGGCGAAGATTGCACTACTGTTGGGCAAATGATGGAGTGCCTTTCTGCGTTCGCGGGGTCGTGTATGGGCCGTCGACCGCGCACATCGACACTCAATATACTCAATTCCCGAACTCGTATAAACATGCGCGTGTCGTCGCCTGGGGTTGTACGTAGTGAAGGTTGCGATGGACGTAGAGTGACTGCTTTGAGAGCGGTCCCTCTCAGTCTGCTAACTGGCAACAAGGTGGCGAAGGACAACTGAGACCGCCTGACGAACAGGTCGACGTACGCGTGAGGAGGGCCGGGGCGGTAGCCGAGTTCGTCCGCACAATCCTGACGGCCCTCCATCAACGACATATCCTATACCACTACGACTGCCGATCCAAAGGATATCGTAACCAGGTGCGCGATATGGCGAATCTTGACGGGGTGGTTGCGACTGTTTAGGCCGATACGGCGGGATGAGTTCAGGCCGGTTAGGCAGAGATAGGTAGCTGGTGCGACGGGAGATGACTACAAGGTAACTGACTTACACGACATGTGAAGGGCTCTTGACGTTGTGAATTTCAAATCCCGTTATCGGTAGGCTATCAGAATTAGGTGGCGGGCTACGCACAACTTGGTGGGTCCCCTGTCCGATCACGGTAGCTGGTCGAATACCCCAACGTACACAGCCTTCGGGTCTGTCTAAGCTGTCAAAAAGGTATATCTGAAGGCCTTGCGCGGGGCGCCTAAATGTAAATGATAGCTCGTAACGGTGTGAGTCCAAAGCTCTTCTCCTGGACGATTCTTAGAAGCCGCGAGGTTCAGCGTTGCGCAAGTGGGGGGCTGACAGGCATATGACTTCACGATATCGACGGTGTGAAGGACGACAGGTGCGGGTGCGCTCTTCGGCCTTCGATGGAGGCGTTGTTGGCCTTCTGCTGACCGTGAACGTGTATCCATCATCGCGTGTTCCCTGAATGCCTTGCAGATCTCGATCTGAGCGCTGTGCACCCACCTCGGCGTTTTCGCCCCTCATATCCCGGCTGGCCTGTCGCTACGCTAAACCCGTATGGTCTGATAGCATTTAGCTGCGGCCGCATTGACTCTCAACCTAGCCTGTGCAACACAATTTCGATTAGTATCGTAGGCTCGAGGCGGCCGAGTCATGGCGCGGAGCATCAAGCGAGATCTTGGATCTAGTTGTCAGAGGGACGTATCCGTAAGTCTGGCTCTCTTCTCCTTCCGCATTTATACGTTATCGCCGTCGCCGACAGGCCGCTCGACGGGGACTGGGGACTGGTAGTTCTGGTGTACTTGAAAGAGGACTGCTCGCAGCATCATCGTAGCAGATAACCGTATGATTTCTGTCAATGATACATCATCGAATATCTGTACACAGGGACAGTGATAGACAAGGGGGCGCTGACAGCCTGAGAGCCCCTTCACCCATATTCGAGCGTCAACCACACATGAACTCATCTCATCCGCAGCTGGAAGTCATACTCACGGCTATACCTCATGGTCTCGCAGCCGCGTAAAGTTCGTTAGTTACGCCGACACCGGCTGTATGCCTGATCGAAAAGCGGGCCGGCGCCAGGAGAAGAAAGCGGCGACGCCGAGAGACGCTGCATAGGAACATCTGCGTAATCTTGTGATCCCTTAGAGTATTGGCATAGCCATTGGCAAATGGCTCGAGACGAACAATAAATAGTTGGAATAATAGCATCTTGCCACAGCCAGGCAAGCTCTACATCCTGTCCATCCGTTCTTGAGTCAATGCCATCGTCGCTCAATGTGGGAGTTTCCCCATCATCATCACTATGCGATGGCGGGTCCGAGCACCTCCGGACATCAACGGACCGCTCGGGGTTAATTGATGCTGAGAGGTTCTATGAGGAACGAGGTTGGTACGTGGCGACAGGTACGAGCGATCGGTGGTACGAGGCCGACCGCATGAACGCTAGATGAAAGGGACATTGTGCATGGATACCGGAGTTACCTTTGTGTACGCAGCTCTCAGATCTCAAGAGTCGATGCGATGTCGTGCGTAGCGGGCCGGGGTCCTACCAGTACAGCTGATACGCTTGAGCATGTGTAGTGGTAGCCGCGGTTGCTGTGAACCTTCGCAATTGAGATCTGCAACCTTCTCCCGACCGCCGGCCCGCGTTATTGAAGAATAGCGCTTGGCGTTGGAGAGCTACAGATGTGATGGTTGAGCTCATTCGAGGGTCATTCCCGCGGAAATTACGGCTACAATGCTCTGGGAACAGGGTAAACAGGGCGTGGAGCTTACCTTCGCGACGAGAGTGAGATATACGTACCCCCTTGCGGCGGCGGCGGCGACGGCTGCGATATCGACCATTCATGGTCCACGACCGGCTTTTTGTTACGCCAGAGAAAGGGTGATCAGCCGCAGTGACGGGATACCGCCCACCAATCGTTCCCTGCTGTAGATCCGTGTAACGAACTCATTGATGACAAAACTCTCTGCTCGAGTTGCCCTACTCAGCTGCTAGACATGCAATATGTTGAAGACTTTGAACTAGTTACAGCGCAACCGTAACATAGGGCCCTTGGGAGCCGTTGCACCTTTGCTTTGAAGCTTGAAACGAGCTGGTACATACGCATACTTACCATTCCGAGCGTGGACCGAGAGAAAATGAACACGGGGCCGGGTTCAGATTTGTCCTGCCGCACCATATTGCGTGGTTATATCGTCGTGTTAAGCATGCAAAGAACCGCTTTTGTAACAGGTATCACAGCTTCAGCGTGAAATCAAACAAGCGCGCATTATAACTTTGTACCACGAGGTGCGCTGCATTATGATAGATGCCTGTCGTCCGCAGTAAGTCCGAGAAACGCATGAGAACTTCCATTCACGTAGAACAAAGTGGCTTGGAAGAGGCGGAGGTGCGTCGAACGACGTTCGTGGCCTCCGTGGGGCTCGTGGGTGTAAGATGTTTGTGGTGGTGGTCGCAGCGAGAAGCAAGGCACGGAGGCACGCGGACGGAATTCTCTAAATGAATTTGACGTCGACATGCCGCATTCTTCCCACGAGGAGGCAATCCTCGGAGAGATCATGAATCACGGCCTGGAGCTCTTGACGACCGTCGTCCGGCGTCCGTGTTGTCCGTGTGTAGACTCGCGCTACCTGCCTTGAAACCGATTCGCGCTCGCGATGCGACTATCGGAGGCACCAAGAGCGTCGGGTCTTTGTCTTGTCTCTGTACGGAACCGAATTCTCTGCCTCAGGCTTCATATGACGGGCCCGGGAGCGAGGCTCGGGAAGCGACGAGGAAGAGGTTATCCTCGTCGCTCTCTTCCGAGAACGATAGCTTGGGCGTCAGGGTCGTGTTCTGGTTACCAAAGCGAGGTTACAAGGGGCACAGATGTGCTTTCTGTATTGGTCGAGGCACTACTCAACAGGCGCCGCTTGGTCCACGTCCCGATTTCAACCCCCTTAGCCTGAACTTCCGCAGTCTCCGGCTGTACGGCGCAGGGGGATAGACGACTGTGTCTCCCTAGATCTGTTGCTGATTTATCAAGGCCGTGCATCTCCGCCATGCGAATCATTTTTCCCGTCTCTCTTCTTGCTCATTCGGATATAAGACTCGGCTTGCGCGATTGGTGTGCGCTTCTGCTCCGCCCCGCTCATCCGAGACTTATAATGCCCCTGCCATAACCACTCGATCGTCGGATGGACCCTCAGCCTCCTCGCCCCTTGAAGCGAAAGTCTCGCTCGCCGCCATCTCCCTCTGTTGATCGCGGCTCTCGAGTACCCCCACCACCAGGCGCAGCGAACGCGCCACAGGCTGCTCACACATCACTCCCGTCCATTCACTCGCTCTACCTGGGAGCGTCACAAGCCGTACCCCCACCGACATATCCTGATGAGCGGCACGCATACCCACATGCCACGGTGTCCATGCCTCTGCCGTCAGTCGTGCCTATCGCCGGCAGCTCGCATAGCCATTCAGATTCCGGCTTGGGCATCGACCCGTACGCCACTCACGCAGCCGCTGATTCGGACCTGGACGAGGGAGAGCAGGGGAATCGGCCTAAGCAGAAACGCAGACGGCAAGCGCTGAGCTGCACAGGTGCGTACATCGCGCCCGCCTGAACGCCTCCGCGGACGCTGATCACTTTCATCTAACCCCCTTTTATATTTGCGTCGGCTCGAACGCCCTCCCTCGCCGCTCTTTCCTTGCGCCGGTCGCGCTTTCTACTCTGGTCGCCTGATGATCTTCGCTCTGCACGCGATCAGAGTGCAAACGACGTAAGATAAAGTGTGATAGGTGCGCGATCGCGTCCGAGTTGGTCTTCGGTGTTAAGCTGATCGTGCGCATCGAGCAGAGCACATCCCTGTGGTCCATGCACCCGGCGCGGCGATCAAGCCAAATGTCAATGGCATGTCATCGAGCCCGTGTACGCCTTTCATCAATTTTGCGTATATGCGCCCATTAACACATGTGATAGTGACAAGTATGTGAGTAGGAGCGAGTTCGAAGACCTCAAGGCCCGCTTCGATCGACTGGAGGCTGTGGTAGAGCGCATGCAGGGCAACATAAACGCCGCAGGAGCCGCGCCGGGAGAGATGCCTACCGGAAGTAACGCTGCTATCTTTGCGCCGCAGCTCGCGGATCGTGGCGCGTACCCTCCGGCGGCATTTGGTCAGCCCATAGCGGGACCGTCACACCGTACGGATCCTGAATCTGCTTATGCCGCCTCCGAAGCCTATAGAAATCCGACCCAATCTCCGATTGCGAGCTCTTACCCCGCGCCTTACCCTTTCCGCGCGCAGCAACAACGTGCTCCGTCACCTGCACCACCACCTGTCCTTCCACCACCATCTGAACAAGGCGGTTCTCCTGGCTACATAACGGGTAAGTCAGGTCTGCTATCCATCTCCGTGGACTTTGAGCTCACGCGATACGTACATAGCTAGGAGACCCTCCGGATCTGAGGTGCATTACGCGGGACGAGTGCCTGGGCGGTCACCTCCTATGGCTGGTGGGTCAAGCATACTCGCCCCACCTCCGCAAGGCTACATGCAGTCACCCTCCAGACTCCCACCCAATCTCGGCGCCGAGGCGTCAGAACACTCTTCGCAAACGCCCGGTGATGTGCGCTCATCTCGGCGCGCGAGTACTGCCAGTATAACTGCGCCTCCTCGCCCTCAGGGAGGTGGGTCAATCTCACAGCTGCCACCCCCGCCTGGCGGAGAACATGATCCTCGTTATCGAGAGCGTTAGATTGCATATCTTGTGTTCTGGATACTGCTGGGCGCTCGGCTATCCCCCAATAATCATTCTTCGAAGTCTCTACATCGTCCTCGTGCTTTCATAACCTGTCAGGCTCCTTCTCACTCGGCAAGCTCCTCAATTGCAAAAGCCTCGTACCCTCGACGCGATACATCCTACTTCTTCTCCCAAGCTGTCACCGAGTCCTTCGGATCCCGTCGTCTGGGCCCAGCGGCGGGCCGCCCGGCATCCACGCGCATTCCTCGTCCCCGTCCAGAAACCAGTCTTCCATTTTTATCAGCGCTCATACATCTCGTCGTCGTACCGCCTTTACATCTTCTCTGTCAATGTCTTCGAGCCATGCATACCCATTGCTGCATTGATATCCCGTTTGCTTTTTTATTGGCGCCTAACCCCGCAATCCCGTTACCTAGTGTACGCTCAGATATTGATCAAAGTACTGCTTGAATTACAATCGCCCCGTCCGTCCCGCCGGCCCGGATCTCCTGCCCGCTACCCGAAGACCCTGTCTCCCTTCCGCACTTATTCCATCGCATTCCCTGCATAATCGGACCTGGGGCCTGAGGGCCGAGCCCATTGTCGTCTTGTCTTGCCTGCTTTGTGCCGTACAATGGACTCAGATCTGTCACATTGTCAGTGTAGCTGTAGCAACTATGCAACGTTCTATGTTAGAACGATCACTTCCACCACTTGTGCGAATTGTGCGCGAAGAACGATTGGCACGTCGACGATGTTGAGTCCCCGGTATGCCGTTCTTGATCTTCCACGGCGTCACTCACCGCGTGCGAGGTGTACCTCGACGTCGGAGTCGTCTTCTTCAACGCTGCCAAGGATTCTTTAACCTTCGAGTGGGAGATATTTCATTGTCGACGTGTCATGCGGTAAGCCATCTCATCTCACCCATACCGAATCCGTTGAAAGCGGCGAGTATTGAGAAGCACCCATAGACGATCTGACGTTGAAGGTCCTCGCGGCGGGTGGAGTAAATGTGACACGATTACTACATACTTGTCTGAGGTTGAGGCGAGCTTGACGCTGAGAGGAGTCCCATTGACTATTGCGCACGAGTCTGAGGCCCGGTTGTATGCGATGCGTCTACGATGCCCAGCAAGAGCACAGGCTCATCCGGTTCAAAGATGCACTACGTCATAGCACTACTTGCGTTCATCTCAAATTTCAGCGCTATACTCGCTGTCGATCGAGTATCAAGACCCATCGTCGCGTCCCGTGCCGTTCATACTAGGGCGAATGGACTAAACGTATATGAGCAACTGCGTGACATGCTCGCAATCCAAGTCAAGAGAAGCCAGGATAAGCTTACGAATCGCCGTGTCCGTTTGGTGGGCATGAGATGGTCACAGTCAGACGCTCGGTTCTTGCGAGGACCAACGCCGCCGGTCTTTGTACCGAACTACATCGAGTATGAGGGTGCCTCCAGTCATCTCGCTTCGAGGTTCGACCTCAATCCCATGTCCGTGCCGTAGGTGCTTTGTTCCATATGTGACAGCACGCGAACATAAGAAAGGTTATGCGGCGTGGACCTGAGAAAGCGTTCATCGGGCCCATGTCCGCAGCTATCAAGCAGCGGGTCAACAAGTGGCAGATCAACACAGGCAGTACAGTACTCACCAGTCACGCAATCACTAGTGATCGGAGGTTCCGGTGAATGTCGCCGCTCGAGAGTGAAATCGGTATACAACCCCATGAATACAGGCTTGCTCACATAGCTGTGTGATCAATAGCGCCGTAGCACCTGACACCAGTGCTTCTTTTCGTACACACCCACACGCACCTTGCGGTGTTGGCGCCTTGACGAGCAAACCAAACCTTCTTCATCTGAGCGCCGTCTGGGCAGAGCGCCAGAGGTTGCGCTCAAGCGAAACACTACCGTATGTGGATCGCTCGTAGAGGCGGTCGGTACGCTGACCGATTTTCCGTACGCGAGATCCAGCATCCAGCCAAGCGAACTGCCACCTACCCGAGACTCGCTCGAGGCTCATGTCGTACAATCATACGCGATTCATTGGGAGATGAACGTGCTTTGTGCGACCGGTCCAGTCATGGTCCCGAATAAGCGCCGTGCTACAGCAGATCGGCTGGGAGGAAAGCACCTGAAAGCATGCAGCGCAAGATCGACCGGCGACGGCGAACAGAGAAAGGAGATGCGAGCAGCGCGGTCGACAGGGTACTCTCCCAGAGGCATTCAAGCCCGAGGGCCACGCGCAAGATGCGGCTTGTCGGCGCACGACGAAGTCGCCGTATTCGGTACGCAAGCAGGTGGATTGACGGGCGCAAGGTTTGAACAAGAACATACAAGCTTCTGTGACCGTGTGGAGATGTCTCGATAAGGAAGTCGACCTTGTGCATCGTTCCTACTCCAGCTCGACCGGCTTCTGGTCAACGGTTGTGCAGTGTCCTGCGCAGGCAAGGATCGAGATGGGCGCGCGCTACACGTGCCTTGCCCGTGTTCACAAAACGCGACGGCGCGCGTGTATTCGAACCTCTCTTCCTCCCTCAATCATCTCCCTGTATAGAGGTGCATTCAATATTATCTCTCTTTATTGCAATTCAGTCGGGATTGACCGCATCATTCAGGTTGAACACCTACCAATACCCGCCACCCATCATCATGTCCGAGAAACCTGACGCGCCAACTTCGTCGTCCACAGACACCACAGGCATCGGCAGCGGCAATGGCGCCCCGAAAGCCACGATAAAGAATGTCGATATGACCGAGGAGATGCAGCAGGAGGCCGTCGAGATTGCGTCCGTCGCTCTGGAGAAGTACAACATTGAGAAGGACATCGCCGCTCAGATCAAGAAGGAGTTTGACCGACGCCACGGACCGACATGGCACGTCGTCGTTGGCAAGAATTTTGGGAGCTATGTCACGCATGGTACGTTTGGAATCCGTACTACGAGCCACTGTCGCGCGCGTCTGTCTGCGCGCGTGCGCAGCGTGCTGGCGTGTCGTGCAGCGCGCTAACCCGTTTTACGTCTTTAGAAACGAAGCATTTCATCTATTTCTACGTCGGTTCGCTCGCTCTTCTCATCTGGAAGTCATAAATTGGTGGCCTGGCGTGGCTACCTTTTTGTTGTGAGTTTTGGTGGAAGCTGAGGGGTGAGTTCGCGGAGCTGTGACACACCCTGTACCATTCTGATCTTGCGTTATATGACTCCAACAGATCCTGCATTCTGTACTTACCCTGCATTCATTTTCTCGTCTAATCATCTCATTCATGCCTGCTACTCCGCAAGAGCTCCGACGACTGGTTAATACTTGTACAACCATCTGAGCTGTGAGTTCTCAATGAGCTGAACCACTAGCGCCACCGCTGTTAAGGTTGTAAGCGAATGCGGGGCAACCCTCTGAACCTGGGCAACAACCCTACGGTTCATGGCCAGCACGTGAGAGAGCTGGCGCTGGCTGCAGACCTTACACATCAATCATATCCTTGACCTCTGTCTCTTGGACTGACTGAAAGAAAATACTAACGAGGCTATCCGCTTATTCATTTAGGATCAGGAGCTGTCGAGCGCAGGTACGGCGATGCAACATCGGCCCGTTCGGCGACGCGGCCGACAAAGACCGATCTGAAATCCTCTTCTCATACTGGCCTCTGCGAGTATTGGCAGTGAACCAGATATGAGAGGTGGCACATATAATTGTCCGCCTTGACTGTATCCTGATGCTCTTACAGGTGAACCTTGTAACACCGCTCCCCCCCTGCATGTGATGTAGGGCTTCGTCAAGAAGCAATCAGGGGTCGCGAAGAACTCCGAATAGACGCCTGTCGCTGTGAAGATAGAGTCGATCCAGATACGCTCCCGATGAAGGGAGTGTGGTCTCTCCTCGTCCCTCCATCTCTAGCTCATCTGGAGGACCGGCCGGCTGCAAAGCTCTTGCCTGCCCTGCGTCACATTAGTATATCGGCCTCTCCTATTGTAAAGCTTCATACACTGACATTCGGTGCACAGATCGCGCACGGAATCCGTCATGTCCGAGATTGCGGTGTACAACGTCAATCCTTCCTCCACCAAACACGACGTTTCCCGTGCGCTGGCCGGCCTGCTGCACAATCCCCCGTTCAGTACTCATTGGCCGGTGCCTCTCAACTTCGACGTGGTCCTCATACGTCCGAAAGGCCGTTCGCACGGTACTCATGCGCACAACGGCACAGGATATGTGACATTTCCTACTATGGAGATCGGGCACTTGTTCCTCCAGGCGTACGGGGCTCGTGGCTCTGGCCACTGGCCACAGAAGACCTGCACTGTCGGCGGTCGCCCTCTCGTCTTTCGAGTGAGCCGGGGAATCCCTGACGCCAACGTCATCAGGCGTCTCTTGCGGTGCCCGTACCAGGATTCCAAAGCGCTGGAGGCCCAGGAACAGCGCATGCATGAGTTATCTTCCCAGTCCGTGTCCGTCAAGACTGTTCAATTCGGTTGGGACTGCCGCGACGGCACGTTCTCCGTCGAGTGGGAACGGGACGTCAACGACAAGGCCATGCTTTGGTTCTCTGACGAGAATAAGCAGCTCCGCCTTAGCATTCGCCATGGTCGTGGCGCATTTCTTGTGGTCGGTATCCGCCACGTCTCGATCAACAGACTGTCAGCGTATAATCACGGAGAATCGTCGGCCGTTTGGTTGAGCTTGAGCGTGCCGCCCCGATTTGAGCTAGAGAGGAGTGGTACAGGCGCCCCAGGCACACGGGCACCTCCTCGCCAGCGTCTGTCCTGCCTTCCTTTCTCGGGGCATGGGAGCGTAGCGCCATATACCGCCTTGGCCATGCGCCTAGTTTTAACGTCGGCAAAGCAGTTGCAGAAGTTCAAACGACTGGCTGGGGTAGCCCAACTGCACTCCGTGCACACCTTCCAGGTTACCGTGGGAAGACGCGCATTGTTCTCCCCCACTGTGCTCGAAGAGCTGCGTCTTTGGATGCGACACTTCCCTTGGAGAGTCTCCTTCCAGATAGAGGCGACCGTCAACAACTTGCTCGTCGATGCGACTGAGATGCTTCGCCTCATCCCTCGTATTGGATCACTCATGGCAAGCCATGGATCGAGGAAGGTGGCTAGCCTCTTGAAGCTCTTCCGTGAGCGCGTGGCTGGTTGGTGGGACAGAAGCGACGTACCTCCCTCTCAGAAGACTCTCGAAACATGTTTCGGACGTGCATTGGCCGATTACGAGCTGCAGTCTTCGCTCCCTGACCCTGATTCTACGGCGGATGCGAATGTTTTCTACAGCCACAAAGTGACATTGACCGCTACAGGGATGTTGTTAGATGGTGCGTCAGTCAGGGTTCATAGGTGTTTTGTTTACATACTGACCTGAGTTAGGCCCGTTTCGGGAACAGTCGAACAGAGTCCTGAGAACTTATCCTCGAGAGCACCACGACTGCTTCATCCGCGTGAGCTTCATGGATGATGGCTCTGTTCCCTATCGCTTCGACCGTGAAATCGATAGTCGAGGCTTCGTGCGATCTCGCGTGGGGAAGGCGCTAAAGGAAGGTCTGGAGGTCGCCGGTAAGAGGTATCATTTCCTGGGTGCGTTTCTCTACGCCTTCTTTTGCTATGCATTGCGTGTTCACAAAGCCCTTAGCGTACTCCCTATCGGCTCTAAAGGAGCACACTGTATGGTAGGGGCATCTATGGCTCTGTTTGTGAATGATATACTCAACAGTCGGCAGGTTTGTCAGACCATTCGTGTGTAGTGACAGGCACGGAGAAACGATACGTGTCGATGCTGCGAGGGTCATCGCGTCGCTTGGGACCTTCGACAATGCAACCCGAGTGTGTCCTGCTCGTTACGCTGCGCGCATATCGCAGGCGTTCACTGCGACGGACCAAGCTGTCGTGGAAGTCGAGGAGATCGTGTACGGACAGGACATCATGACACCAGATGGGCGTTACTGTCATACCGACGGGGTCGGCACGCTATCTCTGGAACTCGCAGAACAAATTTGGGCCGAGTTGCAGGAGCGAAAGCGTACGAAGCGGCGTATCGACACTCCCAGAGCATTTCAAGTACGCTTCCAAGGCTCGAAAGGGATGCTTTCTGTCGACCACAAGTTGCGCGGCGCAGTCATTGTGCTGAGGCCTTCGATGAAGAAGTTCGATGCACCAGACGAGCCCTACGTGGAGATCGCGAGAGCTTTCGATGGACCTAACGCGTACTTTCTTAACCGACCTCTTATCATGGTCCTCGAGGGACTCGGCGTGTCGTACGCCGTGTTCAAGAAGTACCAAGACGCGGCTGTCTCTGAGGTCAAAGGCTCTATGCGCGAGATAATGAGCACCGCACAGCTTTTCGACAAGTACGGATTGGGCACTAGCTTCAGAGCATCATCCGTTCTGAACAATCTATCAAAGCTAGGCGTCGATCATCTCGTCGGGGACAAGTTCTACGACAGATCGCTGGTGTTCGCGGTCAATCATATCCTTCGTGACCTTAAGAATCACGCGCGCATCCCTGTATCAAAAGGCTACACTCTCGTCGGAGTTGCCGATGTGCACGGCGCCCTGTGGGGAAGCGAGGTGTACGCGTGCGTGCGTAATAGAGATGGTACATTGACCTACCTCGAGGGCGACGTTCTCATCTCTCGCTCTCCTACCTGCCACCCCGGAGACGTGCAGATAGCTACCGCCATTGGTCGCCCGCCAACCGGGAGTTCCTTTGCAAGAGAGCCTTTACCAAATATGATCGTATTCTCCACACGCGGTGAGTCCCCTATACATGCTCGTGCATGCAAGGATTGCATCGCTGACTGTATAACGAAGGACGGCGACCATTGCCCTCATGCCTGGGCGGAGGAGATCTGGACGGCGACTTGTACAATATCATTCCATTGAAGGACTGCCCAGAGTTTAGGCCCCAGATGATCAGCGAACCTGCAGCTTACGACCCTGCACCGAGGAGGGTGCTCAACAGGCCCAGCACCATGGCTGACGTCGCTGACTTTGTAGTTGACTACATCAACTCCGATGTCAGACCTAGGATCCATTCATTTCTTTGAGGGATACACTGACCCAATTCCGCTAGGTTCTGGGCTTGATCGCGACCAATTGGCTGATCACGGCTGATCAAAGCCCGGACCACGTCTTCGACTCGAACTGTATGATCCTGTCGCAACTGCACAGTGATGCGGTCGACTATCAAAAGGTTAATCAACTTTTATGAAGGGCATCGTTGAGTCCACAAACTCACCTAAATCCTCAGTCGGGACAAGCCGTCGCAGTGGACAGGATACCGAGACTCAGGTACAGCGCTCGAGTATGTACCGTATCAAAGTTCCACGGCTTTTGCATGATACTAACACACACTGCGCACAGCCAGACTGGAGTGCGCCGGAAACAGTGAATGCTGCGAGTTCCACAACGCACTATAAAAGTCGTCGTGCACTCGGTCGTTTGTATCGGCGGATTGACTTGCCCGACGTCGACCCTGCCAGGGAGGAACATCGCCAGCAGCAACGACAGAGGCGGACTAGGAACCTCGATGTAGACGATCTTGCCGAGGGGCTTGCCGACATCGCGCTGGATGCCGACGAAGACCCCGTTCATCTGACAATACGGCAGCGGGTCAACAGCTTCATAGATACAGACGAAGAGGCACCTCAGCGCGTGCGGGACACTGTCGCCCAGCTCTTCCGGTATCACGCAGGAGAGCTGCAGGGTATCTGCGCGACGCATGTGCTGTCGCATCGTCGAACTTCTACATTGACGGAGGAGGAGGTATTCGTCGGCACTATCATCGAGAAGACAAGCTTGCTGCGAAAGCGAAGGGAGACCATGGCGACTATGCGCGAGCACACGGACTACCTCGTTCGTCATATTCGCTCTCAGCTTGCCGCCACGGAGGAAGAGCCGCTGTCGACAGGTTTACGGCGTGGTTGGGCCGCGTGGCAGCTGTCCTTGGCTGAGCATAAGCTGTTTGGTGCAAAGACCTTTGGTTGGGTTGCACTTGGTTCGATCTTCGATACGATGAAGGAAATGGAAGAGGCGGAGAACGATGTACGAAGTATATGGTAGAAGTAGGTGATCTACAGAGTGGGAACATGTATTTGCGGATGTAGCACTAGATGGCATGGGTGATATACATGGTGCTACTAAGTTGCAGCGATCTGTGACTTCATTTACTTTGGCATATGGTCGCTGCCATTATCTGTATTCAGTGCAATCATCGGCAATGTGATCTTCTGGCCCGAAGCATTGTTAAAACACTCTGCATCTGTGCTAAATGCAACAGGGCCTGCGAACCCGCTAGTCCTCTTGCGCGGTGATTCTCTCTGAAGTGCGATTTCGTATCCTCGCGTATATTGCGACTTGTCGACAGCTAGAACAATGAAGACGAGCAATGGGTATATAGTCTGCGGAGGATATTGATCGGCATAGTGTGCTATGGGTCAATCAAGCGGTACTAACCGTGATCTGGACCATCACTGCATCAAGATAGTCAACAGCATCGATCGGGAACGAAGTAAGTTGAATCGAGTACTGTGTCGTAATCCTCCGGAAGAAGCTGGCACAATACAGTACCTGGATCGGTTTTGAAAGTCAGTGGATGCGAACAAGAGCAAACCGGCAGAGCCTACCCAGATCCCCATGTAAACGATACTTGACTCTACTAAGAGCTCCATCACTCGCATGACGAGTGTGCGGCGGTTGCCAAGGCGAGCAAGTTCAGCCCAATGCCTTCTGTGCATCCTAGCATAGCTTCAGCAAGCAGTCATCCAGAAGAATAAGGGGGTGGAGTGCATTACCATGCTTTTAGCGCAACAAGGAACGTCGCGCTTATATTACTACCCATTGACATGAATACTACCGCCTGACCGAGAGAACTCTGTCCGAACGTCCATATGAGCTCGGAGTCGTGAACGTTGTGAGTTATGCCGGTGGCTTCCAGTTCCGGGTCAGAAACCGCGATGATGTTGGCAATGTTGAGTGCCAGTAAGGCCATCATAAGAAGTCCAGAAAAGGATAAGGCCGGGCGTGCCATACTCCAGACAGCACACATGCGCCAGAGAACGACCGAGTCACTCAAAATTGTCTGTAAAATCGCATCAGGACTTCGAACACGATTGTTCAGTCGTAGATGCTAGCTAATGCTTACATTGGTCGACGTGAGCGCCATGAGAGCAACTGTCAGCTGCTTAGTGTAAGGTGTGTAGGGGCTACGTGCCCCCTCCGCTCCTTGCTTGAATGAGGTATAATACCGGACATTGAGTACCCAGTGCGTCACGGACGTCGAGTACATGATGATGGTAGCAATAGGGATGATCACCGCGAGTCCAAAACGTCGTTCAGAACGCCATTTCCTACGTTTAGTTCCCTTTTGGGCTAGCGAAGGTTAGTGGCATGGCTTACGGACCATATAATCACATATAACACGATTCCGAACATGGAAGATGCGAATCCTGCTCAAAGTTCGTAAGCTATATAATGGGGACGGCCATACCGACACACGGTACACACCGAATAAGACAGTCTCCGTCACAATCAGATGTGCATACTGCCATGTGAGCCCGAAAGAAATGAACTCCGTGACCTCCGGGGACGATGAGTAGACCATCTCGTATAACGTGAGTGGGATGGCTAGAGCCCTGAGAATGAAGTTGCAAGTATCAATGGAGGGGGGAGGGAGGATTCCGAGTGAAGCACGTACCGACCGGTGATAAGTGAGGTCAATTGTTGTAGAGCCAGTGCCCAATGAGTGATGAGCGCTGCCAGAGTCGTCCATATCGCTGCCAATAGTGGAGCGCGGGTGACCGCCTGCATTTCGATCCTGCCATCACGGCATCAACGAGGTAACTCGCTTACCCGCAGCAGTAGATTTAAGAAACCACACCAAATCATGTAACTCGCTGAAGGGACACCGCAGCAGAGTGCACCTGCAGAATAATGTCGACCAGCACTTTACAATAAAGGTCATAATGCAACCGATGTACTTACCGACGTCAAAGCTCTCCATGAGGAGCAAAGGAATGGCTGAAGATGCAGTGAACTCGTATAGCGCGTCCCCAACTTCGATCTCTGCAGTATTGTTCAGGTCTGATAGCGACATCGGATCAACAAGGTGGGGAGCGGGGCTCAGAACGGCTGATACGGTCGATGGCATGTAGCGCTGGGTTATATAGGCCCCTCCTTCGTCATATGAACGCTGGCATTCCGCATCGGGAGAGTCGCGAGATAGGGGTATAATTCTCCATATGCGCGTGTATGTTTGATACCCATCAACGATAACAACATACGCCCGCGCAGAGATCGGACGCCCCTCGACCGGGCAACGATCCGGCGGCACCTCCATAGTTAGCCGAAGACGCGGCGATAGGCACAAGCTGGAAACATACGCAAGGCCTTCTGCCATATACATCGCTGGGTTGGTGTCCTATAATAAGCCAGTGTCATGAAAGATGAACGTGGTTATTAGCGCCCATGCGGAGCGTCAGGAAAGATATATCAGTTCTGACGACGAACGACTCCATCTCTCGCACACTCACGGTAAGAGGCAACTCAATGGACCTAGACGAGTGCGTCGATATATTGACGGGTCCATTGAGGAATTTGGCGTTCTCGGACGACACCCTATGAACAATTTCGATCGCACTGCATCGTCGACCAAAAGTCGACGCTGTGCGAGGTGCAGTTGAAAGCGAGGTTCGTAGCACCACGGTGGAGTTGAGAAGCTGATAGGTACATCATTCCTGTTCACAGGTGCTTTACATGGCACAGATGACCTGGCTTCCCCACCGGCATTTCCATATGCCCTTCAACTGACCCGACTGAATCCTCCCACAGGTAGTCTGCTCTCATGACCGACCCGTGCCAACCTGCTCTTGTCTTGGTGGGTGCGTCGCCTTCCGCTCTACAATTCGACCTCACGGGCCTAGGGGGCGGCGAGAGTCTCTGAGGAAGACCTCGGGCAAGGTGGCGTCCGTGGGCTGTGGAGGTCGAGTAGACGCAGGCGGCACGGAGTCCACCTCTGACTAAGGACAGTGGTCGTCGTAAGCACTTGTGTGCGCAGAGCGCCAGCTTTGATTGGGATCAGGGCGGGGCCGTAGTATCCGCTGAGGCCAGTGAGCTGTCCGTCGTCGACGAGTCCAGGGTTGTAACGGAGACCGAAGAAGCCGAAGGGCTATCCTCCACCGACGATGATAGCACGCTCACGGCCGGCGGCCGCACGCGGCGCGGCAGTGGTCGAGCAGGGCGCGAAGCCATAAGAAAGGCAGATATAGGATCCAGCTCTTCATCCGAGTCTTCGTCCGAACTGGAACCACTCGAATCGGAGCCGGAGTCGCTCGTTGAGGCCGATGACGTCGAGGAGCTGCTCGAGGACGAAGATGAAGAGGAGGAAGAGCCACGGCGGTGGCGCTGCTCGTAGACGCCTAGTCCAAGACGCATTTGGATGATCTGGTCCTGCGTGGGTTCAATGTTCTCCATGTTGATTGCGTTTGGGTCTTGCTGAGCCAGGGCCGCGTTGGACGCCGCGAATTGTGGGAGGAAGGCTTGTACGCGATTGAGTACTGTTACAAAACGGTTGAGTACGCTATGAGTGAGCTTTGCAGACAACACTCACGGTCGGTGGGAGGCCCAAGAGGTGAAGTAGATTGTTGGAGAATCGGGAATGGAGGTACAGGCGGAGGAGGCATAGAGTGGGATTGTGGCCCGCGAGCGTCTACGGACTCCAGGATAGATTCTATGCACACTTCAGCTACCTCCCACTCTGCCTGTATCCAAGCTGTACATACGAAGGCGATCCCGACGGGCCTCTTCATCTTCGACTTCCAGTAGCTCGCGAGAAGACATGGCGGTAAAAGGCAAAGTTCCACAGCTCAGAGAAAGCTTCCGCCGCGCGGAGAATTTGGAGCCGAATCTTGTCTCCGACCACAATCTTGCAGCCATTCAGCGCTTGCTCCCCACCAGTTCGCCCCGGCGCACTGCGCTAGATATAATCGGAGCCATGACCGTCGCTGCTGCTTCGACCTCGCGCAAGCTGTCTGGCTATGATCTGTACCGTGCGCTCGGTTCACCGAAAACTGTCGTCGCGCCGATGGTCGACCAGAGCGAACTCCCATGGCGTACGCTTGCTCGTCGATATAATGCAGATGTGCGCATCACTCATTTGACTCCAATACACGTAGACTGACCAGACGGAAGCTAGCGTATACGCCCATGATCAATGCCAAGGTCTGCAGTGTTCATCTCCGCGCCACAGCTATTATCTGAACCCATATACTCTACAGATCTTCGTTCAACCCAAGTTCAAGCAGAGCGCGAAGGACGCCCAGTACGACCTCACCCATGGCGAGGAGGGCAGCGCCGTAGACCGGCCACTTGTGGCCCAGTTCTGCGCGCACGACCCAGTGGCGCTGCTCGCTGGTGCAAAAGCCATCGAGCACACCGTCGACGCCGTGGACATCAACCTTGGATGTCCCCAGGAGATCGCTCGAAAAGGTCGTTATGGCGCATTCCTCATGGAGGACTGGCCGCTCATCCATTCTCTCAGTAAGTACTGTTTGAACCTATCCTTATATATTTACTGATCGAGCGCAGTCAGTACTCTACACGAAGGATTGAATGTCCCCGTCACGGCAAAGTTCCGTGTATTCGAGACTATTGAGAAGACAGTCGAGTATGCGAAGATGCTCGAGAGCGCCGGTGCGCAGATCTTGACGTGCCACGGGCGCCTACGCGAACAGCGCGGTCAGAATACCGTACGCTTCATCTCCACTCCCGATCCGAGTCCTGCCTGACTCCTACACTGTAGGGCCTAGCGGACTGGGCAAAGATTCGCGCCGTCAAGGAAGCCGTGAAGGTTCCCGTCTTTGCGAACGGCAATATCCTGTATCACGCCGACCTCGCCGCTTGTCTCGAAGCGACGGGCGCTGATGCCGTGATGAGCGCCGAGGGACAGCTCTACAATGCCGCTCTCTTCGCTCCCGCACGGCCGCTCGAGCCTCTTCCATCAGTACCTTCGACTTCTACCATTTCCGATGCGGAGCTCTCAACCAGCGAAACGCCGATTGATCATGCATACCTTGAAGACCTCGCGACGCTATCGACGGGGCTTCAGCCGCGCCACGCCACGCTCGCACTCGAGTATCTCGCTGTAGTCCGCCTTCACGCAACACCTACCGCTTCGTCGGCCGTCAAGGGCCATCTCTTCAAGCTTCTCCGGCCAGCACTCGCCCGTGAACCCGACCTCCGCGACCGACTCGGCCGCTGCCAAGGCGCACTATTCACTGCATCCCGATCTCCACCCAGCGACAAACTCCCAGCACCGCACGAACCGCTGGAGATCGACCATCCATGGCCTGAAGAGTCCGAGCCTGGCGCATTCGCGGATTTTGCGCGTGTATGCAGGGAGATGCGGGCTCGGATGGAGCGCGATGAACGGAAGGCGGCACGAGCGTGGACTGTAGCTGCTGCCCAGGAGGGCGGCAGGATACCGGACGTCGAAGGGCTCACCCCGGCACATCGAGCACTTGGAGCTTACACCGACCAGCGCACGGGCGTACGTGTATTGCCACATTGGCTTGCACAACCGTATGTGCGTCCGCCGCGGCCGGAGAAGGGCAAGGCGGAGTTGGCGGCTGAGGCGGCTAGTCTCGCCAAGAAGGCTGCGCGCGCTGAAGCTGCGGGAAAGGCTGCAAAAGCGGAGGAGGCGCGTGTTGGTGAGAAACGCGCGAGCGCGGCTATTGAGGTCGTCGTTGGGGAGGACGAGAGTAAGCGCGTAAGATTAGGTGCGCCGACTGAGGGCGATGTGTATGGATGAGAGGGGTGCTATTTTCTCTCTCTGGATTTGCAGTTCTTGCCTTTCTTGATCATGGGCTTGTGATGCTCTACAGTCGAGCATTAGATACGTACTATATCTTGTGGTAGTTTTGTACAGACGAACGAGCGTTGTTTAGACTACGATATTCACCACTAGTAGCGGGTACATACTGTCTATGAGCGCCGCAAAACACGACATGTGCTTGATGGATTCGCCGTATCCGAAAGCTGGCGTACAATGCTGAAGCGTACCACCATAGCAGTCGTGAGAATGCGCGTGCCACGGCGGTTGGAGAATGTCGCGTGCCTACTTTGAGCGCTCGTCTCCCGCCCTCATGGCCGCGCCAATCAATATCTGTACGACTTATGAGGCACAAACCTCCGTATCTGGCATGACCACCACTTGGATTGGACTATGGACTCTGGTATGGAATGTCTGCGTGACACCGGCACGTAAACCTACTGCAATGGGAGTAGTCTGATAAGCAGGGATGATGCCCGCCGCCGTCTTCGACTTCTCTCGACGATAGACGATAGGGAGTAGTATCCTTTCGAAGCCATCATCCTCGCACGCCGCAGACGACACTCGGTATATAACATCTGACTTGAGAGCTGCCGTTGGCGTGCCCTCACGACCGTGACCCCGATGTCTTCCACTGACCATTCGACAGATGTGGACGCTGCTGCTAAGGAGGGCCTCGAGAAGATGGGGTATACTCAAGAACTCTCGCGGTCGCGAGGGTTGCTCGGTATACTATTCAGTGAGTTCACCGTCGGATGAGACTGGTATACCAAGACTGATACTCTGCACAGTGACTCTAGCTATAATGGCCGTACCCTTCGGGCTCGGCGCACCTCTAGCGACAAGTCTCATAGGCGGAGGACCCGCGACCATGATATGGGGCCTAGTCTTCGTCGCATTGCTATCGTTGATGCTAGCGTTCTCCCTCGCGGAGATCTGCTCCCTATACCCCACCTCCGCCGGCGCCTACTACTGGACGTACAAGCTCTCCCCTACGAGCAGTCGAGTCCTGCTTTCGTGGATTACGGGTTGGATGACCCTAGTAGGCAATTGGATGGCCGCGTTGAGCGTGACGTTTGGTGAGGTCGCCGCTTTGTGTATGGTGCTTTCCTGACACATACGTCAATAGGCACTGCGCAGCTCGTTGTCGCCGGTGCGGGAATCTACCATCCGGAATGGATAGCTACTCCCTGGCAAGAATGTGCGTGGCCTGCTTCAGGTCTAACTATGTCGTACTGATCGTGCTGCAGATGTTATATTCCTGGGTATTACTGGAGTCGCGGCTGTCTTCTGTCTTTTCTTCAACCGCCATCTTCCGACGATAGATGTAACGTCTCTCCCAACCTCATCAGGACCTGGAGCTCGCACTGATGTAAACGTCTCAGATCGCTTGCGCATGGTGGATGGCAATCGGCTTGATAGGTGAGTATCATTCTTGTCATGTTCAAGATGCCATTGTAGCTCATGCCCTCTCAGTGATGCTCGTAGCACTTTCAGCCGAAGGACGTGCGGGACGCCATTCGGCCGGTTATGCTCTTGGCCACTTCGACTCTTCGGCATCCGGCTGGGGTCCTGGATGGACCTTCTTTATCGGTCTTGTAGGCGTAAGTTGGTACACTCCACATCATGCAGTGTTAGCGGCTGAACAACGATGACAGCCGGCCTACACTTTCGGGGGAATCGGCATGAGTGAGTCTTGATGCCAGCTTGTACCGTCCGGTAGTTGACGCTGATACTGGTGTACAGTCGCGGCCATGGCGGAAGAGGTTCACGATCCAGTTACACAGCTTCCTCGCGCGATTGTGTACAGTGTGCCAATAGGCGCCACTATGGGGCTCATCTTCCTTCTTCCGATCACATTTACACTACCTGACGCTGCTACACTGCTTGCGGTGTCTTCGGGACAGCCAATCGGAGTGATGTTTGAACTTATCATGGGCAGTAAAGGCGGAGGATTCGGCATGGTAAGTATCACCTGCTGCAAACTGCACACCGACGCTGACGGCATCGCCTTACAGTGGTTCATCAGTGCGTCTTCTCCCTATGTCCACGAGTATAGTCTCACTCACGATGGACCTCAGTATTCGGTATAGGCATCTTCTGCAGCATCTCCATATCCTGCGCCGCGTCAAGAGCAACATGGGCTTTCGCGCGAGATCACGCGCTGCCCTACGCACACGTCTTCGCCCGCGTCGCAGTACCTCCAATGACGAAAGAGCCCATACCCGTCAACGCTTTCCTGCTCTCTACGATAGTGCAGGTCTTGATTGGGCTCATCATCCTTGGGTCTTCGGCGGCGTTCAACGCGTTTGTGAGCGTCGGTGTCATCTGCCTTGGTCTATCCTACGTTACACCCATCACGGTCTCGCTGGTACGACGACGGAGGATGGTTGCTCTTGCGCCATACAGTCTGGGTCGATGGGGCTTCTTGGTCAATACTCTCGCCGTGCTCTGGGTCATCTTCGAGATCGTGATCTTGTGCATGCCAACAGTAGTGCCTCCGACGCCAACGACGATGAGTGAGTACAGCGGCCTTGCATAGACTATGGGCGTTGAGCTAAGCTTTGTCGTAGACTATGCATCCGTGGTACTCGTAGCATTCACACTCTTCAGCGCCGTTTGGTATGTCATCAGTGAGTGATCCCATGTATCGAACGGAGACATGCGGAGACTGATCACAATACAGATGGCCGATTCCATTACAGAGGGCCGCCTCAAGTCGACGATAATCATTCGCCCTCACCAGAGATGTTGTTTGAGAAGGACAAGTCGGACGCGCTTGCGAGTACTTCTGTAACTCCTGTTTGATCGGTGATACTGGTGTTGGTATCAATTTGCTTTGTGTACCACAAAGAGTGCAAAAGACGCACTTCTACAGCTGCGTATGGCATGTGATCGGTAAATGAGAGTCGCTCGATAACCTCCAGAGGTAACTTGCTTCGCCTCCGCCGCGCCGCGATTGTAAGGACGGAGAGCATAGTCATACCGACACACTAACCTGCATTCCTGGAACGCTCCCAGTACGTTCTAGGTCATACCCAACAACCCCGACAATAGTTCGCCACCGACCTGTGACGCAGGACAAAAGAGCCGGACATGCACGAAACAAAGGAACTACAAAAACACCGGACCCGTCGTCCATGCGATGGTCAGAGCCTGCACGCATGCCACATTCCGCCCGCCGCTATCTACGCTGTCTGAGGCACGATAGCCAGTACGAGGACCACCCACGATGATCCCTCTGTGGTTCCCGATGCACAATAAAAGCGGCACGACGAGCGCTCAGGATGCCGCACTTCCCCCGCCCACACCCCCCGCAGAGCCAATGACCCGCTCCAACATGACCAACTTCCCCAATATTCGCGCGCTCGCACTTCGCGTGCGCGGACTTCGCACGTCTCTGTATGTGCCACTCTGATGATGCGAAGAACATGAGCTCATGCCACACTAGTATATCCAAATCACGTTTTCGCTCCAGGCGCGCGAGTGGCACCATCAAACCTGCTCCTATGCACTTGCGCCCACGCCGTACCCACACATCAGCACGTCGCCCTTTGACGCAAGCCTGGAAGCGCTGTACCAGGACCATCCACCGGGAGAGCCTCCCATGTCTCTTCTCCATCGTAGAGCCACCAACGCCGAACGAGGGCTCGCTCCCCGCGGATTCGCTCCTCGCTTCCCGCGCCCATCACTTACGGCGGGCATCGATATCGTCAGCATCAGTATGGTCTGACTGGACGGTGATCTCTGCCGACTTTTGAATTTGCCCGGACGATCCTCGTCATCCCATCACCTCGCGCCACCCTTTCTGTACCATTCGTTCTCCGCGTATCTGCGTCATAAGCCTTGTATCGATCTTCCAATCACCCTCTCGGAATCCCCGTCGGACTCGTGTAACCTCCATAGTCTTTTTCTGTATGTTGTAACTCCCGCTCTACAGTCTGCAATGCATCACGCATACTGGCCTCTGGTTTCTGGATGAGAACGCGATGGTTACACCCAAGCAGTGGCCAGGCAAAGTACAATGATAGATCAGTGGGAGATAAGACCGCTACTAAGGACTTGCCCGCTATGTATCGTCTTGGCTCCTAGTTCGATCATAGAGTTACGAGCAGCCACACCAAATGAAGGTTGTTGATCAATTGTTGATCGCACCCCGCCCATCGCCCGTCCCTAGGCGCTGAGCACAGGACGAGGTGCATGAGCTAACCCTAACCCTGGCGCCATGCGAGATGATTGCACAGGATCAGACACTCGTTCAGTTGTAAACACCATGACCATCCTACTCTCGGTTAGTACTGTCTGTCGTTAAGTATAGGCCTCTCGACTCACCTTGCCCTGAGTGGTGTCTTGCGTTAGTCTCAGGATTTCCATTCTTCAGCTCAGCTGTTCTCCAAGCGAGGCAGGTCCGCTCCGTTCGGCCTGTTGTTGAGATGTCTATCTGTCATGTATTGGCCACACTTATGCCACCTGAGCCTCGATATGTATGTGGAATGTCTTTCTTGCTTCGTGAAGACGAGTTATCTGCACTGCGATGGCCTGCGCATGCACCGGCGGTAGCATTGCCGGAGCCAAGGGCGACTCGCGCAGAATATCCGCAGGTCTCGTCTGAACCAGTTTGTCCAAGGAGATAGACCGTGTTGAAGCCTTTTGCAATCACTCAGAGTCCTAAGCTGCAGGATGCATAGCGTATACCTCAATCAAATGATTCAGTAAGCGAGCAATGAATCCGATGCTTGGGGCAAGTCTTAGCAAGATCGACCTAGTCAGTTTGGTTCGCAATGCGGAACAGCGCAAAGAGTTGTGTAGTGAGGATGTAGAGTGGCCGTACATTCTACGTCTGCTATCAGGAGCTTTCTCGACGTTTAGCAGCGACTCGTCAAGTCTAGCAGCGTCCGTCATGCGTCTCGGAGAGTTGCTCAGCCAGTAGTGTCTTGAGGAGGTAGGCCGCTCTCATCGCGGATTCGAGATAGGAAGCGCTGGCTGGCCAACGGTACATAAGCCAACATCTAGGTCTCGGCATTCTATCACTCACCACATCCCCTCGACAAAGCCTGAACAGCTCGACCTTTACAAATGACTGTAAGACCACCACTCCTCCAATACCGCCGTCGCATTCTTGACCACGCCTCTCGTGACATAGAAGTCCAACTTCGGCGTCACCGTGAACTGGCCCGTGGGCGACTCAGAGTGGAAGCCCACCACCGACGAAGTGCGCAAGACGGCGGGCATCAACAGCTACCGCCTGTTCCTAGACGGCGACCAGTACAAGCTCGAGTTCTCGTGCACGGAGGATTACCATTACTACTTCTACGATGCCGAGGGCGATTCGTATGCGGTCAACTCACTACGTCCATTACAACTCGGAGAAGCCTACTGTTCTGTATGTTAGTGGCGCGTAGAGGAGATTATCGTGAGTTACAGGCACACCTTGTGCTGTCATTCACCGTTGACGCAACTGTCTAGACGGTCGTCGCTCAAGTGAGGTTCATCCATGGGCATACTTCAACCGTTGCTTTCGATTCATTCGTTGACGATATCTTGGGCTGCCGTTCAGTTGTATCACCACCTGTATTCCTGTGACCGACCTGTAATCGAATGCATCACGCGTGCTCATCTGAACAAAGTCCACCAAGTGTATTAGATCGACTATAGATTCAGTACAGCAGCAGTAGCAGGAAGCGTCGTATCAGCCACAACGTCAGTACGCGCAGATTCTCCATCCGTCGCCTCGCCCAGCTTGCGCAACGCCGCCTCTGCCTCACTGATCAGCTGTTGTAAGCTCGATGGTTGAGTGGGCTTAGACTTGGGAGCAGCCTTCGGCTTGAGCGCTTGGGTGGTCACAGCCTTGTCAACGAGCGCGCGCCATGTCGTGCCCTCCGCGGCGAGCGCAGCTGCAAGCTCGTCTTTGATACGCCTCGGTGTACCAGGGCCACCATAGCCCATACTCGTGTACAACTGAACCGCTGATGCGCCGGCCCGTGCGAACTCCAGTGCGTCTTCGCCTGAGGAAATGCCGCCACAGCCGATGAGCGGTATCGTCGCTGGTAAGTGCGAACGCAGTGTGCTCAATGCAGCCAGCGAGAGCGGCTTCACTGGCGGACCTGACAGACCTCCGGCTTCGCTCTTGGCATCTGTTGGTGGCGGGTCAGACTGATTCCTCTGGAGAACTGTGGGGATTGAGCATACCGCCAATGAGCGTCGATGGTCGCTGTATAGTCGTGTTACTGACGATCACACCGTCAACACCGGGCGTAGCGACTACAGCTGCGCCGATATCTGCCAGCTCCTGCTCGGACAGGTCGGGCGCGATCTTGAGAACGAGCTTCGGTCTGCGTGGCGTATCCAATGCCGCCTCGTCGCGTGCGTCTACAACTTCGCGCAGAAGTCCAGCGAGAGCATCGCGCCGTTGTAGCGCGCGCAATCCAGGAGTGTTTGGGCTCGATACGTTCACGACGAGTACGTCTGCGAAAGGAGCGAAAGCGCGAACGCCTGCGACGTAGTCTTCGGCACTATCTGCCGCGCTGGTCTTGTTCTTGCCTAGGTTCACGGCGAGGAGGACACCGGGGCGCTGAGACGCGGTTGCGGCTTGCTCGGCTGTGGGGAAGGGCGAAAGCCGTGCGCGGAGTCGCTGGAGTACTGAAGCGTGACCGGAAGAAGGGAATCCGTAGCGGTTGATGAGGGCGTCGCTTTCGGGGAGGTGAAAGACGCGAGGCTTGGGATTGCCAGGCTATGCGGGCGGTCAGCATAATGTACTTTCCGCGAGCGACACAAAGCAAGATAGGTGTGTTCAGGAAGCGTACAGCCGCAACTGTAGCATCTCAAGAGATATGTACCGACTGACCTGAGGTTTCGGGGTGACACTGCCAATCTCTACCCAGGCAAACCCAAGGTTGAAGAGTCCTTCGGAACAATGCGTTAGTCTCGATACAGGTGCATAAGCGCCCAAAGCGTACCATCAACGGCTTCTCCCTCTTTGTCGAACCCAGCCGCAATGCCGAGCGGGTTCGAGTACTCCTTTCCCCAAAGCTGCACTAGTCAGTTCCTGCATGTCCATTGAACACCATGTCCAATCTCCGCACCTCGGTTACAAGCTGTGGCTCGTCTACGCCAAAGTCTCTTGGTCCGAGCCCAGAAGCGAGAGCTTTCACAGCAACTTTGTGCGAGGTTTCGGGGTCCAGAAGTATGCGAATAGAAGGTGTGACAATATATCTGTGTATGGCCGCTCGCGAGTCCAAATAGTACACAGTGCCGGCGACTCCGACAACTGCAAGAGTCGCGACGGTTACAGTAGTTCGCAGACCGGATGCGCCCGAAGCCGCCGCACTCGATGTCGAAGCGGCGCGAGCAAGCTGCGGTACACGACGGGCGGCGCGTGCGGCACGGAGAGGCGCCTGCATGTTGGCTGTTCAGGTGAAAGTGCAGTTCTCAATTGCAATTCAGGCCCAGGGACTGGCCGAGAGCTAGCCGAGAGCTGCGAGCCTCGCGCCGCAAGCGTTGCTTTGTTTCCGACGGCCACGACTCGAGCACGACGAGCGACTGGCGTTCGACGGCGGCGGAGATATACCCACTGCGGCCGCCCTTCAAGTTGAAGCTGTACATATATGTAAACCTGCAACCCGTTCTCTGACACTTTCCTGATCTCCCGACACGACCGCCCACGAACCAATCTGACTTGACTGATCCACGCCTCGGGCGCTTCATCGGACGCCACTTGTACCTATATACTTCGCCCTTCATTTCGCTCTGCTTTGCTCCCACAACCATGTCCGTCATCGATGAGGACTCGTTCGACGTTGAGGAAGGGCCGTCGAGCTGTACCTCGCCCGCGCCATTGTCCCCTTCATGCGAGCGCCACCCTGAGCTCTGGTTTTCGGATGGCTCGGTAGTCTTGCGCGCTCAAAACATCCACTTCCGTGTACACAAGACACAGATGGCGCGTCACTCTGGTTTCTTTCGCGATCTGTTCTCGTTGCCGCAACCGCCTATTATCGAGGAGACAGTCGAGGGCTGCCCGGTGGTCGACCTGTACGACGACCCAACAGACCTGGCGAACTTGTTGGTCGCCATATACGACGGCCTGTGAGTGTTCCTGCCACGTATCGTGCTCGCGCTCCGTGTTTGGCGGTCCCATAACCCGATGCGATGCGGGTGTCGCATCACCCACGCAGATGCTTCTGCCGAGTCGCCTTCCATACTATCTGCGCTTCTAGCCATACAGTCGCTAACACCACTTCCCAGAACGCTCGGCAACAATGACCCGGAGGACTTCCATGTCACTTCTGGCATCCTCCGACTCGCGACGAAGTACGCCATCGACAAGCTGCGTGATCGTGCTCTAGCGCACCTCACCATCGCATGGCCGACCACGCTCGAGGGTTGGGATGCCCGCGAAGAGGCTGCGCGTGAGCATGAATTCGATACGGGCCAGCCGCTGTATCCATCCCCCATCGTGAGTGATCATCCGCAGTCCGTATGCAGCAGAAGGACCGCCCGAATCTGACTGATTACCAGGCCGTCATCAACCTCGCGCGAGAAATCAACGCGCCGTCTCTGCTGCCAGCCGCCTTCTACGATCTTTCCCGTTACAGTTTCGCCCAGCTATTCGACCCGCCGCCGCTCTCTCCACCCCTCTCGCGAGCGGCCTCTCCGCCGCCTACATCCGCTTCTCTGTCCATACGCGATCTTCAGCGCCTCGCCCTTGGCAAGGAAGCTGCGAGTTTGGCTGTGAGCGCTCTCATCGCATCACTCGTGCGCGGCCCGGGCGCCGCACATGCGCGCAAACCCTCCTTTCCGCCCGCCCAGCTCGCTACGACCCACCATCAGCATAATCAGGTGTGCGCGACACCGGGCGCGTGCCATCGCGAGTTCGCTGAGCTCGGCACGCTCGCGACGCGCCACTATGTCTGCGAGCGGGGCCGGGGACACGCCGACCCACTCTTCGTCGCTGACGAACTCGCTGCATTGCTTGGCGAGTGTGGTCCGTGTTCGCGATCTCTTGATGCATGGGCGCAACGCGAGAGGGCGCGTCTCTGGCGTGCGCTGCCCGCGTGGTTCCGTGTCGACGGCGAGCTCTGATTAGATTCTCGTCTCTTGCCTACGCATTTCCTTCTCTAAATCCTGTGTACCACCTATTGATCATCCCTGTATCTCCATGCATACGTCTCTTAGATCCTGCTGTGTTTCCTGGCTCGCTGTATCCATCGTTCTGCATTGATGTTCGCGCGCATAACCCATTGACTCTCGGTCTTGTTCCCGTATTCGTACTATAGTAATGCATACACTCCGTCTCATTGCGAGCACTTCTGCCTACAGTCTCACGGGGTATGGTGCTTCAACTGAAAGAAACCACCCAGAGAAACCAAAATCCAAATGTCAATTGTAGTCACTCGTCCACAAGGATCGATGTGGACCGTCGCCCACATGAACCACACTCTATTTTCCAGTATTTTCCTTGTGGTTTTCCGCGTGATTGTGTCTGTATCTCCTTGCCAACGCTCCCGACATCGTCGGGCGGGCGCGTCGCGACGGTGCCTCGGGCCTCGAAACGTTCTTCATGGAGCAGTCGCCAGTACGCGGCGGGTACGCTGCTCAAGCGCCCGACGCGGGGATCACCGTCGACGGGCGGAATGGAGGCTAAGCGCCGCCTCATGGCGTTCGCCGCTTCCCACCATGCAGACGCCCTTTTGTCCTCAACCACCACAAACGTACACGCCGTTGTCCTCCCCTCACAGCCTGAATGACGCGGCGATCTGACAAGTTTAAGCACTCTCATTGTTCTTCGTGGGCTGTGTGTGAACGTGTGGAGCTCAAGCCCCCCACGTTGGGCTTGAAGCCCTTGTATCCCCTTGTCGCCCTTGCAGCCCATGAAGCCCCCAAGATCCATGATCACCGAGTTATGCTGACGGTTACCTTGCTACGGGTCCAAGCAATGTGGACGAGAAAGGCTTGTGGTGCCGGATGACCATCCGTATGCTGACGGTTACCGTGCCAGAGGCACAAGCATGTGGTTAGGAAAAGGTTGCTCCATTTTCGGGGGCGATCTCTTTGTTCGTTGCGGTTGGGCCCGTGTGATGCCTTTTCGGCTTTTGATCAGCCCTCATGCGGGGTATATAACGTTCAGGGCCTGAGCCCTTCTCGATTTTCCTCACCACGCATCCCCCGCCGTGCTTGACTTGCTCCGCCTCTTTCCCTTGTATTCTCTACACCCTTCCGAGCAGCGCTCGAGCCCGCTATTGACATAGCACATCCCTCGTTGACCGAAACGCACACTTACGAGCTAGTCTCTTCCCTCTCATTCTCAACTTCACGATCACAACTACAAGCGCAATGGCCCGCTTCTCCGCTGCTCTCGCTCTCCTCGCCGTCCTCGCCTCTGAGGCGGCCGCTTTCCCCATCCACCCTCGCACTCTCGCCGAGCGCGCACTTGCCAAGCGCATTGCGCAGACCACCATCGATGCTCCCAAGAAGTGGGAGGATGCCTGCGTACGTCCTACTCTCCGATGTAATGGAGAGATCGCTATTTCTGACTTCGCATTCTTAGACTGCCGCCGGTGGAGCTGACAAGTGCAACCCCATCGCGGTCACCGCCGCAGCAACCCTCCTCGCCGCCGCTGGTCCTTGCGAGCAGCAGGACTCCGGCGATGCCATGGTTGATCTCGCAAAGCAGGTGCGTGCATGCATGCTTCATCCTGATCGCGATGATCCATACTCACGTCTATTGATCAGCTCAATAACGACCAAGCAATGATCACCGCCGCTCAGATCTTCATCCAGCAGCCCCGCAACACTCCCAACTCGGTAGCCACCGTCTACTGCCAGACCGCACCCAAGAACGACGAGCTCGCCGGCTTCTTCCAGTGCCAGTTCGAGGGCGCCGACCTCACCAAGTTCTCCAATGGCCAGGCTGCCGGCGGCGATGGCACGGTTCCTCTCGGTCTGAGCTCGCTCAGCCCCGCGGGCTCTTGCCCCGCCAACCCGAGCGGCCCCATCGCCGACGGCACCCAGCTCTCCGACACCGCTACGTCGCCTGGCACCCCTTCGTCGGGCTCTGCCTCCGGATCCGCGTCGTCGGGCAACTCGACCGGCACCGCCACCTCCGCGGCCTCTTCTGCCTCTTCCACCGCAACGTCTGGCGATGACTCCGGCGACGACTCAGGTGACGACGAAGATTGCGACGGCACCGCGACCGTGACTGTCGCTTCCGCCACGGCCGCCGCTACTGCAACTGGCGTCGCCACCTCCGCCGCCGCCGTGACTACCAAAGCCGCTGCAACTGGAACCGCCACTGCCTCCGCCGCCGCCTCGACTTCCACGAACTTCGTCCTCGCCAACGGCCTCGACGCGCAGAAGCAGAACCTCGACAGCCTCTCCATTAAGGCGACCGACTCGTGCAGCACCGATGGCCAGTTCGCCTGCATTGATGGTACCATCAACCAGTGCGCCAACGGCGCATGGGCCAACATGGGCGACTGCACCGCGAGCGCGGCCCCCAACACGTCCTGCTTCTTCCTGCCGTTCGTCGCCAAGGCCTCTGTGTCCAGCCCATCGTGCGTCTCGTCCGATGTCGCTGAGACGCGTATCGCCGCGAGCGGCGCTACGGGCGGTATCTTCGGCAACGGGCAGAAGGCCGAAGGCAACGTCAAGCTCTCCGCTTGAGCGCTGAGCTATCGTTCTCCACCATGCTGCTTGACGGCATTATCCACTCTCTGACTCTGGTGTCTTTGCTACGTTATGTATGATCTATTTATTTATTCTGGGCTCTCGGCGTGCGGGGATCGCGCCGAGGACCACCCATTGCTATTCATTGCTGTCCGCTGTACTTGTACTGTCTCGCAATACATTTCTGTTTGATTCACAACGCTACGTTGGCGCTGGCGTGAAAGGACGCACTCGACAATAGAACGCTGCTCTTCGTCGCCCTCCAGCAACAACCTGAGAGTCCAATATTTCAGTGAGGGCCAATACCCAGAATGGGTTAGTAAAGAAATGTAAGCTGAATGACATGACGTGTGCGTCCAACACTCATGATTATGGCGGGTATAAGGAGTGTGTCTACTTGTATGTTGTCCATGTAGTATTCCCGAGAATGGTATCCCTTCATTTGCCCCAGAATTAGCCTCAGGCGACAGCGAAACGAGATCGTTCCCTCAATCGAGCGCCGTACTTGTGAAAGACGAATCTGCATTCGCTTGTCAGTCCAGATCCGAGCACTTCGGCCGAGAGACGTACGGTAAGGGTGCCATGAGCGTTGTGAGTCCTGCGAGCAGGGCCGTTGCTCCCACAGTGCCCAGAGTGTCGTACATAGGACCTGCGAACAGAGGAAAGCCTGCCGCAAAGCAACAACGCATCGCCTATCATCACGGAAGTCAGTGAATACGACTGAGGTCGGCCTTCTGAGAAGACGTACCGAGTTGCTTGCCATAGCGCTAGCAGCGATTGGTCGATAGGTGGAGACGAGATATGTGAAAGAGCTCGCGAAGACAAAGAATGATCCGGCGCCGAAAGGTATACTGCCGATGATGGGACCCGCGGCGCTCACAGACTTGTACGTCGTGAAGGATATGATGTACAAGCCTGCATGGGGGTGTCAGTCAATCCTCCAGCTCCTGTGCAATGTCTGAAACGCACCGAGAGCGACCAAAACGCCTCCAACTTGTCCCATCACCAAGCAGAACTCGGGCGGCGGATCTCCGTGTTCCTCGCGATAGCGGCGACTGCGCCTTTTGGGAGGGTTAGCATGAGCATACTAGATGGTCAATACGTCTGAGATAGCTCACATGTTCCAGTAGGGCTGAGACGCAAGCGCGAATATCACGCCTAATGCAATACCGAGGAAGCAAATGCCGACGATCTCGGGCGCAAAGCCATGAACGTCCCCGAAGACGATGGGAAAGGCTTGAAACGTCAGGTATATGATCCCCAGGATCAGAGCATTCCTGCGAACAGCATGGGTCGAGGTCAGACGATGGAGGCGTATGTCAGGACATACCAGAGATTGATGAGGAAAGCTATGCGATCGTAGAGAATGAGTTCTGAAGACACGGACGTTAGCACTCCCACGAGAGAGCATGAAGTGGGGCGTACGGAAAGGTTTGTAGCAGCTCACTACTAGCTTTTGAGCAAAGCTACCGGTGTGGTGTTCTGCTTCAGCGAAGTAGCGATCGTCTTGAGTCTCTTTACGCAAGCTTCATGAGGGCAGTGAGCGCTGAGCTTGAACGCCTAGATGGATATGCCACTAACCGCGATGCCTTCCCAGCCAGGATGACCGGAGCGTATGTCTCCGGCACAAACTATGAATCAGTGATGAGACCGACAGAGTTCTCACGGAGGTCGAAGTAGACCGCACCATATATAAAGCGATGATCTGGAAAGCAGACCAGATGCTGATGACATGGAAAGTCCAGCGCCAGGAGGCGTTTTGATTCACAAAGCTATAGTACGATCAACGACGTTTCAGGACCTGTTTGGTTGATAGAGGACCTACCCGCCGTATAGAGGTCCAAGCTCTGGCCCTATGAAGGGGGATAGCGTATAGACAGCCACGGGTCTAGTAGATCTATCAGCCGATAGAAGGTGGCGGAATAGCCACAGACGTACGTTGCCACTTTATGCTTTGGAAACAAGTCACTGACGCTTCCGCCGGCGACGCTCAGGAACGCCGCCCCGCACCAGCCTGTCACAAAGCGGAAGACTAGATATACGGCTGGAGGTAGTCAGTCTATATGTGTTGCGATGTGTTGGCCGATGAGAGACGAACCGATGTTCGGTGCAAATGCCACAGCAAAGTTGAAAGCAAGGAAAGTGATGAAAGATGTCCTGTATACGATGTTGCGTCCCCACATCTCCGAGACGGGGCTGGCTAGTAGAGGTCCGAAAGCAAGGCCGAGGACGAAGAGCGAGACCCCGAGAATAGTTACTTCCTTTGAGACACCAAAGGCTGACTGCAGTTGCGTTTCTGCGCTAGCTGCCTGTTCGGAGTGCATCAGCATGAGTATATGCGAGACATTACAGTACAGCTTACCGCCGAAGAGGCACAAGTAACGCAAGCGGCTCCTGAACAGATGATCACGACGGCCATCCAACGTCTGGCGAGGGAGAGCTTGAGCGGGTCGTCCTTCTCATCCAGAGTGACTCTGTACAAGTTGAGATCGTCTCGAGAGCCCTTTTCATTTGTATTCGCATGTTGGGTCTCTGTTCTGGTTGGACTAGGGGAGTGCCTTGAGGGGTCGGCAAGCTCAACGTCAGTCGACGATGACATTGACATGGGAGAACCAGTGCGGATCCGGAAGGCGTCGTGAATATTGAGAACAGCCCATCATGTTATAATGTATGCCTCGGAGGCTCGGAAACCGGGTCGTACTGTGGGTTTCGCTTGGGGGTGGATTTCGACCGTATGTAGGCTCTGGATATTTGCCACTGATCATCGGAAGAGTCGCTGACAGAGGACCGAAGTTCACTACCATGACAGGATGAAGACAGTCAGTAAGCTATGCCATATATTCGTATGCATGGCGTGATAGCCTGTACTTGGAGTATATGAAGGTTTGATGACGGTCGTTCGTTAACTGTGCGCTTCGAGTGCACCATGCTGTGCCGGTGGTGACACCCTCGGAGTTCGGAGCCAAGAGGCTAATGCTGCTGACGCGATCGTTGAGTATCGAATATCTGCTGCAGATCTTCAACGCGAGGCCTCACCTCCTCAGCACGGACTACAAGAGACTGCAATACGTTAACATTCAGTTGCGTGACATAGAGGGATGGGAACCCTAGACGACAGAACCGCCAAGATCGTAGATCGCGTGTGTCACCTGCTTCGTGTCAGCTCAGCGCCTTTCTCTCCAGTGCCATCGGCCAATTGCTTTTGACTGTGTCCGCTTGAACAGCTTGAAGGCTGAGCCTGAACATCTCAGCTGGCCATTCGTACCCGTAACTGAGCTCTGTATTCATTGATAGTCGTGGCTTATAGATCGCGGCGGCGCGATTAGTTCTACGATATGTTGGTGAAACCATCCAGTACCTATCCCGCTCGCATTGTTCCATGCATTGTAGCGCTTCAAGCGACAGCGAATCGAGACCTTTCCCTCAACCGAGCGCCATACTTGTAAAAGACAAAGCTTGGATTCTGTCGTGAGGGCCTGAAACGGAACTTTCAGGACAATGGAACGTACGGTAACGGAGCCATAAGCGTTGTGAGCCCAGCAAGTAGTGCCGTGGCACCTACGGTCCCGAGGGTGTCGTACATTGGACCTGCGAAAAGGGGAAAGCCGGCTGCAAAGCAGCAACGCATCGCCTTTCATCGTGACAGAGATTAGAGAAGGCGACTTCGAGCAGCTTGCAAGTACAACGTACCGTGTTGCTCGCCATGGCACTGGCAGCTATGGGTCGATAGGTGGAGACGAGGTATGTGAACGAGCTCGTGAACACGAAGAAAGCGCCGGCACCGAACGGTATACTGCCGATGATAGGACCCGCTGGGCTGACAGACTTGTATGTAGTGAACGCCATCACATATAGACCTGTGCAGAGGCGTCAGCCCGCCGTCTGCCCAAGTAGATATTGCGCCCTACCGACAGCAACAAGCACGCCTCCGACTTGACCCATGACCAGCGAGAATTCTGGCGGAGGATCTCCATGTTCTTTACGATAACGACGAGCACGGCTAGGGAACCATGATCATCAAGGTTTGCCTTAGGCTCACAGCAGGTCATTACATACCCGTTCCAATAAGGTTGAGATGCAAGCGCTAAGACCATTCCCAGCGCAATTCCAAGGAAGCAGATGCCTACGAACTCCGGTGCAAAGCCGTGGATGTCTCCAAAGATTACCGGAAACGCTTGGAATGTCAAGTATATGATGCCCAGGATCAACGAGTTCCTGTTGTACTTAGTGTTAGTCAGGACGAAATGATGACATTTAGCCCGATACTCACCAGAGGTTGATCAGAAATGCCATGCGTTCGTAGAAGACGAGTTCTGAGAGGATGAGCTCGCAGATAGAACCCCTGAGACGAGTGACATACGGAATGGTTTGTAGCAACTGATGATCAACGCTTGAACAAAGCTCTTGTCGTGTCGTTCTGCTTTCGCGAAGTAGCGGTTGTCTTTCTTAGTTTTCCGAAGACTAGACGATCAAAGTCAGCAAACGCAGGTGACTTGATTCTAGAGGCTATCCCTCACCGATATGCTTTCCACGCCACGATGGTCGGTGCGTAGGTCTCGGGTACAAACTGCAGTTGTACGATCAGGTTCAGAGACAGCGTGCGCGTCGAGCGCTATGCAACGCACCAAGTACAGCGCGATGATCTGCAGGAAAGACCAGATGATTATGACGTAGAACGTCCAACGCCAGGAAGTGTTTTGATTGACGAAGCTGATGGGGTTCATCGTGAGAGCCATGTTACTCAAGTCATCGTTGGAGAATGTACCCGCTGTATAGAGGCCCAAGCTCTGGCCCCATGAATGGAGACAGAGTGTATACAGCGACTGGGCTGGCGTCGTCTTTGAGCGGGATGCACATTGGATGAGCTAGGGACATACGTCGCAACTTTATCTTTCGGAAATAGGTCGCTGACACTACCGCCGGCAACACTCAGAAATGCCGCCCCGCACCAGCCGGTGAGAAAGCGGAAGACGAGATACACAGCTAAGCAAAGATATCAGCGGGCGATACGATCAGTTCACAGGTCAAACGCACCGATGTTTGGTGCAAAAGCCACGGCAAAGTTGAAGATGAAGAAGGCGATGAAGGATGTCCTATAGACGATGTTACGCCCCCACATCTCTGATACGGGACTGGCTATCAGAGGGCCAAAGGCAAGTCCTGCGACGAAAAGTGATATCCCCAAGATAGCCACCTCCTTCGGTACTCCGAATTCTTCCTGCAACTGGCTTTCCGCAGCAGCAGCCTTGATACCCATCAGCTAGTTGTCAAGATGAGATACGCAACGCTCACCGCTGAAGAAGCGCAAGTAACGCAAGTACCTGCCGCACAAATCGTCACGACGGCCGCCCATCGCCGAGCTAATGAGAGTTCCAGAGGGTCGTCTTCCTTCTCTAGGACGACTTCGTAAGGGTCTCTCGATGACTTTTCTCCCGCGCCCTGCGGCATTGCAGGCGAGTTCGAGCTCGTGCGCTGCTTCTCCTCATCGCAAGGAAGTTGGCTAGCGCGGGATGTATGGCCGTCTGGACCAGTGATAATTGACAACGCCGCAGACATTATCGACCAAGAGCTGATTGACGAACGGACGGCGTCGAGACGAGTGTTCAGAGAAGCGCAACAGATATGGCCCTCGGACAGCCGCTGTGGGTTCCGAAGGTCGACCGGAGGAATGTCTCCGTCATCGTGGAGATTGGGTAAACCGACGGGAGAACCAACCGGACCTAACCCATGGTACAGCAAAGCACGCTGCAAGAATAGTTCATAACCGGCAATTCAAGGTTGGGGTTGCAATATCCGAGCGACTGCACCGTCCTCTTCCATCGAGGCTCAACGTCAAAAAACGCGCGGCTTTGTCGCGCTCAAGGAAGATGCCGGCTGCCCTCCCACGAGTCCGACGCGCCACTGTGGACTTTGGAACTGACTCTCACCTCGTCCGTTGTACTGGCCCTAGCGGTCTATCGCTGTCTCGCTCATAGGCACATAGTCCGCCTAGTACTCATTCCCCTCGCAGACCCGAGAGAGCTTATTAAGCATCGTCAGCGGCGTCAACTACCTTCTTGATTGCTTTGATGCCTTGATGCCGAGACCTGCAGGCTGCTCGCAGGTTCAAGTGAGAGATGATATTGCACATATCCACTGTTCTATATCGACTCATATTCGCATACAAGAGCCTCTGACGTGCATTATCTATTGTGTGACATACTGGTGAGGCTTGCTATCGTATGGATCAATTAAGTGTCTAACCGTATCCCATATACCCGCACTCGTCAACCGGAACGAACGCGATATCCCCATGTCTCATGCGGGGCGCCCGCAGTGCTAGTTGGTCGGCCACAAGCCTCTCAAGATGTGCTGCAAGGAGGTCGTTTTCATGCTTTTCCGAAGTGTTTGAAGCGGCGACCTTGATTTCGATAACTTCTATGACTGCGTTCGTACATGCGATGATCTACTTACTTTACTGATCTTCGACCTCGCTTAGGAGAACAATTCCATGCGCATGCCGGAGATGATATGCGATCTGATCTGATAATGTTGTCAGTACTACCCGCAGTCAAACATCCCGCCATGACTGTTTCATCAAGCACTCTGAACATCCAAAGTTGCTCTCGGGTGCCTGTCTCGTACAGGCGGGAATCACATCCAGTTGTCACTGTATCTCGCGCAGCTACGGACAGGCATGAGTGCGCAGTCCAAGAACCGTGACCTCCCGCTACTCCTCCCGCTGCTCGCATTCATATGGGTCTCGTGGCAGCACTTCACCATTCACAGGCTTACTGGCGAGTGCCGCTACCAGCCGAAGAGTGCATGATGGAAAGAGAGAAGCCGCTGAAGATACATTGAGGTTTGGAACAGTGTACGATGGAGAGTGTTATCCACCTTGGACCTGGAGTCGCCTACTACTGAAACGACGGAGGAGTTGGATGATCCTGATCTCAGCGCTTTGCCAACACCATTGGGAAGGGTGTAACCCCTGGCATATGTCCGAAATAGACCTCGCCACTGCGCCTGTCATGGCATGCATGTTCTCGTGGTCAGACAGTGGGTGTGCTAAACCCGCGAGGACCATTTGAAACTTGATCAAACAAGCGCGGTTGCGGAAGTGTGGGAGTCCTGTGCCTTTCACGCCTGCCTGCGCAAGTACTTGCTCGAGCGCTGTGAACGAATCATCAGCGAAGCGGGTGTTGTGGTTCCGCCTGTCGACGTTCAGGCCCTTATAAAATCAACGCCCTGCACAAGGTCCATGTTAGC